ATGTTTTACGCAGAGGATGCCCTTCCAGCTGCGACCCATCTGTGGCAAACATCCATACACACTCATTCACAACCGACAATTTAGCCAACACAATTCACCTGTACCGCATGTGTTTGGACTGTGGGGGAAACCGGAGCACCGGGAGGAGACCCACGCGAACGCAGGGAGAACATACAAACTCCACACAGAAACGCCATATGACCCAGCCGAGGCTCAAAACCAGCGACCTTCTTGCTGTGAGGTGACAGCACTATCACTGCGTTGCCTTATTCAGTTCAGTAAATGAAAAATAAATGACAGAAAAGAAAAAAAAAGCAGACAATTCCTCTAATATTTCATTAATTTTCCTTCGGCTTAATTTTCGAGTCACCACATTAACCGCCAACTTATACCACATATGTTTTACACAGAGGATACCCTTTCAGCTGCAACCCAGTACTGGGAAACACCCATACACACTCATTCACACACATACACCTGACAAAAGTCAAATTCTCCAGCAGGATAGCGCTCCTTCTCATACTTCAGCCTCCACATTAAAGCTCCTGAAAGCAAAGAAGGTCAAGGTGCTCCAGGATTGGCCAGCCCAGTCACCAGATATGAACATTATTGAGCATGTCTGGGGTAAAATGGAGGAGGAGGCAATGAAGATGAATCCAAAGAATCCTGATGAACTCTGGGAGGCCTTCAGGAACGCTTTCTTTGCCATTCCAGATGACTTTATTAATCAGTGATTTGAGTCATGTCAGAGATGTATGGATGCAGTCCTCCAAGCTCATGATGGAGTCAGACACAATATTCATTCTGTCTCCACTGCAGCAGGACTTTATATTCTACACTGGACATTATTTCTGTTCAGTTACAAGACTTTTGTATAATCAGATCTTACTGTCCTATTTAAAGAATTAATAACCAATCATATTTTATTGTGGCCTAATAAGCATAATCTAGAGGTATTTGCCTTTCATATAAGCCACTTCTGATACCAAATGATCAACTAGAAGTCAAGTTATTATTTGCTGTTCTTAAAACTTGGATAAGTGAAAGACTTTTGTAAGCTAGTGTACACTACGGCCAACTTAGTTCATCAATTCACCTCTACTGCATGAGCTTGGACTGTGAGGGAAACCAGAACACCCGTAGGACACCCACGCCAACACGGGGAGAACATGCAAACTCCACACAGAAATGCTAACTGGCCCAGCCTGGACTTGAACCAGTGAACTTCTTGCTGTGAGGCAATAGTGCTTACCACTGAGGCACTGTGTCGCCCTGTTTTATATTTTCCCCCCAACATATTAATTTGGGTTTACCAATACTTCAATTAGTTAGATTAGTTCCAGTTTTGGCTTTTGGTACTGGCTAATCTAATGTAATTGGCAGGCACAAATATATTATTGTTCACCATCCTGTAGAAAACATGAATTTAAAAGAGAGATCTGTTATGCTGAGCACTGTATATAAAATCCTGTTCCTTATTAGAAATAAAAAACATAAACAAACTTTTATATTCACTGGTCAAGAGGATGAGAATCCTGTTTAAAACTTGATAAGCTGCTGTCCTGCGAGTGTCCTGCAAGTGTCCCCGATGTTTAATTTTACATATGTTTTTCACTTTACTAAATAATAGTTTGTACATTTGATATGCATGCCATGTGTTTGAACAAACAACATCAGGCAGTTTGGAAGTTTCTGCTTTGTGCTTAGGGGAGTGACCGTTGGTGCCGCTCATGAATATTTAATTATGTAGATCAAACCAATGCATGACAGTGTATATGGACTAGACATTTTTGATTACTGTGTGTGTGTGTGTGTGTGTGTGTGTGTGTTTGTGTGTGTGTGTGTTTGTGTGTGTTTACAGTTTGTAGTAGATTGTTATTTGTATTTAATGTGCTTTGTGCTTAGGGGAGTGACCGTTGGTGCCGCTCATGAATATTTAATTATGTAGATCAAACCAATGCATGACAGTGTATATGGACTAGACATTTTTGATTACTGTGTGTGTGTGTGTGTGTGTGTGTGTGTTTGTGTGTGTGTGTGTGTGTGTGTGTGTGTGTGTCTGTGTGTGTGTGTGTGTGTGTGTGTGTGTGTGTGTGTGTGTGTGTGTGTGTGTGTGTGTGTGTGTGTGTGTGTTTGTGTGTGTTTACAGTTTGTAGTAGATTGTTATTTGTATTTAATGTGCTTTGTGCTTAGGGGAGTGGCCTTTGGTGGCACTCATGAATATGTAATTAGGTATATCAATCCAATGAGTGGCAGTAAATATGGACTTTACATTGTTGTTCATGGTACTGTGTGTGTGTGTGTGTGTGTGTGTGTGTGTGTGTGTGCGCGCGCACAGTTTGTAGTAGATTGTTATTTTTATCTGAAATGCTTTGTGATTAGGGGAGTGGCCACTGGTGCCACTTATAGATGTTTATTTAAGTAGATCAAACCAATGCATGAGTGTATATGGACTTTACATTGATGTTTGTGGTGGGTATGTGTGCGTGTGTGTGCGTTTACAGTTTGTAGTAGATTGTTATTTTGATCTAAAGTGCATCTGAATATACATTAGCGGGAGTGGCCACTGGTGCCACCCATGAATATTTAATCACGTTGAACAAGCCAATGCATGACAGTGTATATGGACTTTACATTTTTGATTATGGTGTGTGTGTGTGTGTGTGTGTGTGTGTGTGTGTGCGTGTGTGTGTGTGTGTGTGTGTGTGTGTGTGTGTGTGTGTTTACAGTTTGTAGTAGATTGTTATTTTAATCTGAAGTGTATCTAAATATACATTAGGGGGCGTGGCCACTGGCACCACGCATGAATATTTAAATAGATTAAGTAGATCAAGCCAATGAATGACAGTGTAGGGACATTAAATTGTTGTTTTTGGTACCTGTGAGTTTGTGTGCTTACAATTTATTGTAGTTTGTTATTTTCAGAAACATTTAATTCTTCCTCTAAATATGTAAATATTATAATTAATTTTTGGTGGGATTATGGGGGGGGGTGTTTTGGATGAAAGTGAAGGCCGGGGAAGAAAGGGGATTTTGGTCCCTGCACTCTCAGAAATAAAGTTATACGTGAGCTGTCACTGGGGTGGTACCTTTTCAAACGGTACAAGTTTGTACGTAAAAGGATACCTCAAAGGTATATATTAGTACCTAAAAAGTACAAAAGTGTCCGTCTTAAATTTTTTTAGGTACTAATATATAATTTTAAGGTGCCAATATGGACCCTTTAAGTACAAATGTGCACCTTTTGAAGAGATACCACCCCAGTGACAGCTCGCGCACCTTTATTTCTGAGAGTGTGTAATAGTAACTCTGGGGGTATGGAGCTAGATTTGTTTCTTTATTATTCAATTGAAAATATTTCGTTTTAAAGAAAAATTAAGTATGTAGTAATTAAAAAATTAAAGATTTCAAATAAAAAAACACGTTTAATTTTAAAACTTATGTCAATGATAATAAAATATTTTGGATTGCAAAAAAATTTGCTCTCTTTACTGCTGTCTTTTATTGCACATCTAGAATCTTTGCTTGCAGGATGAAATGTTTTGCTTGTGAGTTGAAAAGTTTTGAACCCATGAATGCCGGGGTTAATTTTCTGTCTTTATTATTCAAACAGACACATGAAGTTTTTGACCAAAACTAGGTACAATGCAATAAAAAAAAAAAAAGATTTCAAATAAGAAAAAAAACATTTATTTAAAAAAATCCACACTGCAAAAAATAAACTATTGCCATTTAATGCAGTTACCAGCAAACCGAAAGCAAAATGAATGAGCACACAATGAATTAATCTGGTGGTAACTGCAAAAAATGACTTATTGATTCATTCATTTTTCTTCGGCTTAGTCCCCTTATTCATCAGGGGTCACCACAGCGGAATGAACCGCCAACTTATCCAGCATATGTTAACACAGCGAATGCCTTTCCAGCTGCAACCCAGTACTGGGAAACACTCATACACTCTCACATTCACACAAATACACTACAGCCAACCTAGTTTCTTTAATTCCCCAATAGCGCATGTGTTTAGACTGTGGGGGAAACCGGAGCACACAGAGAAAACCCATGCCAACACGGGGAGAACATGCAAACTCCATACAGAAATGCCAACTGAGCCAGCCGGGGCTCAAACCAGCGACCTTCTTGCTGTGAGGCGATTATGCTGCCCACTGCATCACCGTGATGCCCATATTTCCAGTATCGATTATTTTAATTAGTAATATTATTTAATATCCAGATCTGAGCAAACTGTTTAACTATTAAAAGGCAGACCCCCCATACATCTTATTTTGATGTTCATCAGGGAGATCAAGCATTAAAGAGCCCCCCCAAACCACCCTGTACTTCGCACCCTGAACCTACCTATACCACCAAACCTGTCCCGAACACGACACATTGCATATATTGTATACATTTTTTGATTATTATTTTTATTATACATTATTATTATTACATCATAAAGTATATTGTATTTATTTTTGATGCATGTAGTATTTACGGCCACTTAAGGATTCATCCATTTTCCTTCAGCTTAGTCCCTTTATTCATCAGGGGTCACCACAGCGGAATGAACCGCCAACTTATCCAGCATGTTTTACACAGCGGATGCACTTCCAGCTGCAACCAAGCACTGGGAAACATCCACACACACTCATTCACATACACACTATGGCCAATTCAGTTTCAATTCACCTACAGCGCAAGTGTTTGGACTGAGGGGGGAACCGGACCACCCGGAAACCCACACCAACACGGGGAGAACATGCGCACAGAAATGACTCGAACCAGCGACCTTCTTCCTGTGAGGCTAACCACTGAGCCACTGAAATAAGTGTATGAATTTTAATATGAGCTTTCAAGTACAAATTACTTTAGCCATCTCAATGTAAAGTGGGACCATTGTTTTGTATTGTTGAAACAAGTTTAGAAGATAAAGTGTGACCCAAAACAACCTTACACAGTATAGTGTGTAACTTTCTTGAATTGTAGGGTTTGCTATCTACCTTTTCCGGCCCTTGGAAGCATATCCTGCACACCGGGGTTCCTTCTGCATAGCTGATGAAGGAGAACCGGTCATCTTTGCGGTCTCTGGAGAACTCCTCTGCCGCGGCGCCCGTCCACCCGGATCCGCCTGCGGCCGCGTCCGCTCCCGCAGAGTCCTCCGTGGACGCGCCGCTCCAGTCCCGGAGCCGGTGTGCGCGCAAGGTATTGTTGTTATCAGATGCATACGGGCTGTTTCTGCTCGCTTGTCCGCTCATGGGGCTTGTGGGAGCCTGTGGCCCGAGCAGAAACACCTTGAGGTCGCTGAAGAGGACGCAACAGCGGCTCTTCAGCATGCCGTGACCGCGTAACATCCAGCGGGAAAGAATCGGGATCAATTACCGGAGCTTCCGTTGAGTTAAACGCTTAACGGCGTATGCATTAAATCCATGGTGCTCCACAGCAATTGAAATTCCTTCTGATACAATGCGTTCAACCACCTTAAACTAATTGAGAAGTTAGCAACAATGGGGAATAATTAGCCTAAGTGCCATTATAAGTGAACAATCCCGAATGAAGTAACAGTAAACAGGTGTCACAAGCCATAAGATTCATTCCATCCTTCTGTGTTGTGGTTTCCAGGTGTTAAAGCATCCCTTTTTGGATCTCCTCAGGTAGATTTGCACATAAAAACCTCGTGCGCGCGCGCTCTTGCACTAGCTGCGGCAGGTGATGTTTGCTGCTTGATGCACGGAGGGTTTTCTGTTGCAGTTATTTTGCTTTGGTCGTCGAGTTGTGGGGTAATTCACCGGGGATGTGTAATCCGAGCAGTCCTCGTGCGGTTCTGCGTGAGACTCTGATGCTGCGGTTTCAGCACTCTGATTCCCGGGACAGCTACCAGGCGCGTACACGTCACACGCGCGGAGTGACGCGGGAGGGGGAGAGGGACACTTATTTATTTATTTTATTTTATTTTATAAGATTTTTCACTGTTAATTATTATTATTATTATTATTATTATTAAATGTATTATTATTGTTGTTGTTGTTGTTTTTGTTATTTTATTAGTTGTATTCTTTTTATAGTTATTACTATTGATTTATTATTATTATTATTAAAATCCCTCTCATATTTTTTATGCTAGGCTATTATAAGTCTTGTGTATCTGAATTAATGTTACCACATACACAGATTTATTATTAATATTATTATTTATTATTATTGTTGTTGTTGTTGTTTTTGTTATTACTTTATTAGTAGTATTGTTTTTATATTTATTATTATTATTATTATTATTAATATTATTATTAAAACTCCTCTTATATTTTTTATGCTAAACTATCGTAAGTCTTGTTTATCTGGATTTATATTAAAACAGACACAGATTTATAATTAATAATATTATTATTGTTGTTGTTATTGTTATTATTTTATTAGTAGTATTGTTTTATATTTATTATTATTATTATTATTATTATTAAAATTCCTCTCATATTTTTATGCTAAGCTATTGTAAGTCTCGTCTATATGGATTTATATTAAAACAGACACAGATTTTTAATTTATTAGTGTTATTGTTATTCTATTTATTATTGTTATTATAATTGTTATTATTATTAATATTATTCATTAATTTATTTTATTTTCGGCTTAATCCCTTTATTAATCTAGGGTCGCCACAGTGAAATAAACTGCCAACTTATCCAGCATATGTTTTACGCAGCAGATGCCCTTCCAGCTGCAACCCACCACTGGAAAACACCAATACATTCTTACTCATTACGGACAATTTAGCTTACCCACTTCCCCTATAGTGCATCTGTTTGGACTGTGTGGGAAACCGGAGCACCTGGAGGAAACCCACGCCAACACAGGGAGAACATGCAAACTCCATATATATGTCAACTGACCCTTCTTGCTGTGAGGCGACAGCACTCTTTTTATATATATACATACACATTTTTTGTAATTTTGTAGTTTCCTTTTTGCAATATTATACATTAATTTAAATGTAGGCTAAGACCTTCCTATTTCTAAAGATGTTTGGTGAATGGTGAAATAAATTTTTTTTTATATCTGTTTATAAATATTTTCTCTTCAAATGTACCAAAATACATTACCTATATTCACTGAAAAAATTATAAAAATATTCATTTTCATATTCAAAATGGGGTGTAGTAATTTATGCTGAGCACTGTATATACACATACACAAATTAAAGTATTTTAGCATAAGGATTTTCTCACTGGTGAGGATGAGAATCCTGTTTAAAACTCGATAAGCTCAGTTTTAATTTCATTAAATAATCATTGGGACATTTTATGCCCATGCCCTGACATTTTGAACATCAGAAAATGTTGAAGTTTCATTTTAAGAAATTTGTGCTTAGGGTGGCCACGGGCGACACTCATGAATATTTAATTTAGTAGATGACAGTATACATCGACTTTATTTCATTTTATTTCACAAATTTGGTCTGTTTATTATTATCATTGATGTTGTTTTTTTATATATATTGTTCATTTATATTTATTGCTAGTTTAATCTATAAAACGTAACAAAAATGTATAATGTGTCAAATTAATATGTACAGATGATCATCCCAAATTACTGCTGTTCAATAATGTTAAGCTCTCTGTTGAGCAGTTTCAGCTGTCAATCCTATTCATCATTTATCCCGTATCTTTAACTGTATACTCCTTTAAAATAGTAATTAATTTAATATTATTAAATATGTGATTATGTTATTAGTAAAATACATTTTCTCTGTGTAGCTGGAGAAAAATACCTCGATTTCGCATATTTGTTTTATTGTAATAAGCTCTTAGTCCCGCCCATCTGTCATATCCATCAACACTATTGGACAGTCTTAACGTCAATCAAAGAACGTCAGCCTCCAGCGCCGCCGCTGACGTCACGATTACGCGTCATATCCACCATGTCGCGGTTGTTGCTGTTGAGTTTTTCCTCTTACTTATTAAATCATTCATTAATTTCTGTTTTATTAACATCTACTCCATCCACAACCCTACACCTACCCCTCGCGGTAATGTAAAAATAGCAATTATGGTTGTATAATGCCGCAAAAGTACGCTATATTGAAATGCGCATGCCCAGTAGTCGCAGCTGTATGTTCAAAACCGCGTCATTTGAAGTACGCGGTAAAGTTTTTCTGTAACTTACTAAAATTAATCTAGATTTTGCTTTCTATTGAACGATTTTGAACATCAAACGACGCCTAAATGAAATATGTTTGAGTTGACTGTTAAACTTTGACAACATCGAAGATAAGAGAACATGGTCAAGATACTATAAACAAGCATATTGCAGGAGACTGGAAGGATTCAGCCGGATTTATTTGTTCTTTGTCATGCAACTGGTTTATATATGTGTTTAAAGTACTACATGTTCATCCTTTGTTAGTCGTTGTGTCAGTAAGCGCCTGTAAGTGGTCACTAAAGCAGGGATGTCTGTGAGTCTGACTCCAGAACAGCAGCGGAGGATTGAAGAGAACAGAAAGAGAGCATTAGCCAGAAGAGCTGAAAGACAGGCTCAGATCGCAGATCCTGGACCTGCTCAAAACAAACACACACAGTCCGGGACAACAGGAGGCCCAGCCAAAAACAACCAGCATTTTGCGTCTGATCGGGGACAGTCAGGGGCACCTACAAGACAGGTGGGCATCAGAAACTTTGAATTAATGTTTTATGGTTTTATTGATTGAATTTTGCATACATATTAACAATATCAGAAAGCCGTATACAATTAAAAAATGTCTGAACCTTATAATGTATTTATTTAATGATGTACATTTTGTGTATTTTGTTTACACTTACCTGCCCTGGCATCGATATTTATACTATTTTTGCTGTTAGGCTTATAAAAAATCTTTAATTTTTTTATTCTATATGGACTGTTGATGTGAGGTAGCATTTTCCACTGTCTCACATGAAGAAAGAAAAGCAAAATAACTAGCTTTGTCATCCGTTTATGAAATGCAGTAAATGTTGAAACATTTCCTAGTCTTCCCTAAACCACTTATAAACACTATTGTGTTATTAAATTTGTTACATTTTTGAGCAGTAAATTAAACAAAAAATCGTAAAATCATCATTAAATACCTCAAGCTTAATTTTACAAGTGGCTATTTTAGGTAAATGGCAATCGTTTTTATCATCCATTTATTTCTTGAAACATAGGAACTTAAATCATTATGTCACTGAAAACTACGCTCACCGGCCACTTTATTAGGTACACCCTGCTAGTACCGGGTTGGGCCCCTTTTTCCTTTCAGAACTGATGATGATTCGCGTTTTATGACATGGCGTTTTATCCTGTTGGAAGTAGCCATCAGAAGATGGAGACACTGTGGTCATAAAGGGATGGACATGGTCAGCAACAATAGTCAGGTAGGCTGTGGTGTTGACACGATGCTCAATTGGTACTAATGAGCCCAAAGTGTGCCAAGAAAATATCCCCCACACCATTACACCACCAGCCTGAACCGTTGACACAAGGCAGGATGGGTCCATGCTTTCATGTTGTTGACGCCAAATTCTGATCTGAATGTGGCAGCAGAAACGGAGACTCATCAGAGCAGGCAACGTTTCTCCAATCTTCTATTGTCCAGTTTTGGTGAGTCTGTGTGAATTGTACCCTCAGTTTCCTGTTCTTAGCTGACAGGAGCGGCACCCGGTGTGGTCTTCTGCTGCTGTAGCCCATCCGGCTCAAGGTTGGACGTGTTGTGTGTTCAGAGATGCTCTTCTGCAGACCTCGGTTGTAACGAGTGCTTATTTGAGTTACTGTTGCCTTTCTATCAGCTGGAACTAGTCTGACCATTCTCCTCTGGTATCTACAAGGCATTTGCGCTCACAGAACTGTCGCTCACTGGATATTTTCTCTTTTTCGGACCATTCTCTGTAAACCCTAGAAATGGTTGTGCGTGAAAATCTCAGTAGATCAGCAGTTTCTGAAATACTCAGACCAGCCCGTCTGGCACCAACAACCATGCCACATTCAGTCACTTAAGTCAACTTTCTTCCCCTTTCTGATGCTCTGTTTGAACTGCAGAAGATCGTCTTGATCATGTCTACATGCCTAAATGCATTGAGTTGCTGCCATGTGATTGGCTGATTAGAAATTAGCGTTAACGAGCCGTTGGACAGATGTATCTAATAAAGTGGCCGGTCAGTATGTATGTATTTATGCATTCATATATGCCTGTGTGTGTGTGTGTTTATATATATATATATATATATATATATATATATATATATATATATATATATATATATATATATATATATATATATATATATATAGAGAGAGAGAGAGAGAGAGAGAGAGAGAGAGAGAGACCTGGGAAATATTTTTTTTTAGTATTTAATGGAGTGAGACACTTTTCACAGTATTTCTAATAATATTTTTTCTTCTGGAGAAAGTCATATTTGTTTTATTTCGGCTAGGATGAAACTTGTTTTAAAAATTTTTTTAACCATTTTAGGGTCAATATTATTAGCCCGCTTAAGCAATATTTGTTTTCGATAGTCTACAGAACAAACCACTGTTATACAATAACTTGCCTAAAGAACCTAATTAACCTAGTTAAGCCTTTAAAAGTCACTTTAATCTGAATACTAGTATCTTGAAGAATATCTAGTCAAATATTATTTACTGTCATCATGGCAAGGATAAAATAAATCAGTTATTAGAAATGAGTTATTAAAACTATTATGTTTATAAATGAAAATCTTCTCTCCATTAAACAGAAGTTGGGGGAAAAATTAAATGGAGGGATAATAAATCTGAGTGTATTTGTAAGATAACATGTATTATATTATTAATTGCAAATCTAATGATGTTTCCACACGTATGTTCATTTATGCTCATCTTTACAGACTCAGCTCATAGACATTAATGCAGCGTGTACAAAAACAGCACCTCCGACTTCCATTACTGCTGCCTCTACAGCTTCTAGTTTTTATGGACAGGCAGGAAAACCAAGCACTGGAGAAAAGAGACCACCTAAACCCCCTGAGCCCGCGGCAAATATCCCTGCAAAGAAACCAGCGGTGTACTTGAGGGGAAGATGTGTTTCACACTCAGAAAACCGCTTCCGAGTGGAGGTGGGCTACCATGCAGACCTCATCCTAGTGTTCAAAAGCATTCCCTCCAAAAACTACGGTGAGTACAGACCATGCGTCTAATATCATTGTTTACAGAATGTTTATTGACCTTATAATTAATGTACGAGCGGCCACAGCCAATGGAATCTTTTTGGCTTGAGAGTTCCGCTCTCATTCACTTTCATTGATTTTTAGACGTTAAATAATAATAATAATAATAATAATAATAATAATAATAATAATTCCTTTTATTTATATAGCGCTTTTCTGGACACTCAAAGCGCTTTACATATTGAGAGGGATTCTCCTCATCCACCAAATTTGGCCAGGATTCCGGGATTAAACCCCTCCTCTTTTTTGAAGTACTTCTTGGGATTTTTAATGACACAGAGTCAGGACCTCGATTTAATGTGTCATCAGAAAGACAGCGCTCACTGAGCAGTATAGAGTCCCCTTCACTATACTGGGGCATTCGGGCCCACACAGATTGCAGGTTGAGGGCCCCCTGCTGGTCACACTAACACCACTTCAGCTCATTTTGCTTCTTGATGTTCCAAACTGATATTTTCTTATTATATTCTTCTTCTTTTTATGTATAGTCATAAACACACTTGTTTGTAGAGCAAGAAGTTTGACCGTTTTCTGCTGTTTATTATTCCTAGTCCCGTAGGCAAGTTTTGGAACAAGCGCACTTCCACATCGCAGATTAAGGTCAATAGTGTGTATGTGCGTTTGTTAATCTTTAAGGATAATATCTGATGGCCTGTAATATTTATTATGCATTACAGATCCTGCTACGAAGATGTGGAACTTCAGCCTTGAGGACTACCAGATGCTCAGTACGTCACCATGAGCGCTATTTATGGAGCCAAACTAGGGCCATGTATATTTGCAAAATAAAAGAAAGTTTTGCAAACAAAAAAACAAAGTATTGAGCAAAAAATCCAAATAATTAATGCAAATATCCAAAAATCGCAAAGAGAGAATTTTTTTTGAGAAATAAAAATTATTTTGAAAACCAAAATAAAGAACTGCAAAGTGAAAATTAAGTTTTGAGAAATAAAAATGAAATCTGCAAACAAAAAAAAAACTAAAAATCAAGCAGTGCACATAAGCTATATACTATATATATATAAATATATATATATATATATATATATATATATATATATATATATATATATATATATATATATATATATATATATATATATATATATATATATATATATATATATATATATATATATATATATATATATATATATAAAACATTTTTGATAGCGTTGCCTTTACAAAACCAAATGTTATAAGGGAACTTGGGTGTTTACGGCAGTAAGACCACCTCGGTGATACTGTGTCTCCAGCTGATGATGTCGCTTAAATGGAGGCAGTTCCCTGGACTCCGCCCCCTTGTCAAATCAGGGCCACAAAGTGAAATGTGCAGAAACATGAAGTGCAAAGAGAAAATGGCATCGCAAACTCACGATTTACTAAAAAGCAAATCAAAATGAGCATTGCAATTGACTGGACGTGTTTTGTGAAGGTAATGCTATAAAAAAATGTTTTGCAAATATATAGTTTTTTTAATTGCAAATATTTAAGTTTTTCTGCATTGCTTGATTTTTATTTGCAATTCTTTTTTTGCAGATTTCATTTTTATTTCTCAACTTAATTTTCCCTTTGCAGTTCTTTATTTTTGTTAGCAATATTATTTTTATTTCTCCAAAAATAATTTTTGCTTTGCGATTTTTGGAGATATGCATTTGTTTTATTGTTTGCTCAATACTTTATTTTTTTCTTGCAAAACTTTATTTTGTTTTGCAAATATATATGGCCCTAGATTGACTCCATACTATTAGACATTTTCTATATACAGTGGGGGAAATAAATATTAAACGCATCACCTTTTTTCTCAGAAAACATATTTCTAAAGGTGCTGTTGACTTGAAATTTTCACCAGATGTTGATAACAACCAAAGAAATCCATATATGTAAAGATTAATTAGTTTACAAATGAAGTTATGCGTAATAAAATGAAATGATGCAGGGAAAAAGCATTGAACACATGAAGAAAGGAACGTGTAGAAAGGCAGTAAAAGCCCAGACAGCAGCTGAAAGCAACCCTCTGAATTTATATATGTATATATATTTACAGTACAAATCCTTACCTAAAGTTGCTTTTTTTCAACCAGCAAGAGCTTTTTTTGGCCGTAAATGACACAGGCTTCTTCCAAAAGATAATAAGATGATGTACAAGTGAAATTATTGTGGAAAAAGTGATCAGCTTTTATTTACATTTGAACAAAAAGTGGCATGTCCAAATGCTAACATTCTACACCATTACTAATAGCTCAAGCTGTAGCAAAAGCATCCTAACTACCCGTATTTATTGGGAATAGCTGTTTTAATCAACTCAACAGGTCAAAAACAGAAGCTTATTGCTGTTGGTTTGTGGACAGTCATGGATAAGATAAAGAAGCTCAGTCAGGACCTGTGGCTGCGCATTGTGACTGCTCACAAGTAAGGTGTGTATCCCAGGGTGTAACTGTGCTTGATTGTGTTTCAGTGGAGCAGGTGGCACATTTACCCTCCATCTCTCTCAAACCTCTGGAAGGGATGGAAGGGCTGAATATTTCTGCATCCACATGTCGGCCCAAAGACGCTGCAGCAATGGCGGCTTTGATGCGCCTCTGTCAGGGTTGGCAGAAACCGGGTGCTACAATTAAAGGAAAGTGCGTTTTAGTGTCTCGCTCTCGACTGGAGGTGGATATTGGATACCAGGCTGATGTTATTGGGATTTTTAAGCAAATGCCATCCAAAAGTTATGGTGAGTTCATTAATACAAACTTTTTTTGCACAAAAATTGGGCCTATACAATGTAAGGTCTGATTTGGCTTGGTTAAGGAGGATAAATATGATGTTATGTGTAGCTTGTTGTATATTTTGCATCATTTCTTTTTAACTGAATTGTAGTAGAAGTGATTTGTGTGGTTATATATTGTATTATATTATATTATATTATATTATATTATATTATATTATATTATATTATATTATATTATATTATATTATATTATATTATATTTTATTATATTATAATGTATTGTATTGTTTTGTATTGTATTATATTATATTATACTATATTATGTTATATTATATTATATTATAATATATTATTTTATATTATATTGTATCGTATCATATCGTATTATATTGTATTGTATTATATTATATTATTTTATATTATTATATTATTTTATATTATATTGTATTGTATTATATTATATTATATCATATCATATATATCATATCATATCATATTATATTATATTGTATTATATTATATTATATCGTATCATATTACATTATATTATATTATATCATATATATTATATCATATCATATTATATTATATTATATCATATCGTATTATATTATATTATATCATATTATATTATATTATATCATATATATATATTATATCATATTATATTATATTATATTATATTATATTATATTATATTATATTATATCATATTATATCATATTATATTATATTGTATTATATTATATCGTATCGTATTGTATTATATTATATCATATCATATATATTATATTATATCGTATCGTATTATATTATATTATATCATATATATTATATTATATTATATTGTATTATATTATATCGTATTATATCATATTATATTATATTGTATTATATTGTATTATATTATATTATATTATATTATATCGTATCATATATCAATTATATTATATTATATTATATTATATCATATTATGTTATATTATATTATATTATATTATATTATATTATATCATATATATTATATTATATCATATTATATTATATTGTATTATATTACATTATATTATATTATATTATATTATATCGTATTATATCATATTATATTATATCATATCATATATATTATATTATATTATATTATATTATATTATGTTATGTTATATCATATTATATCATATTATATCATATTATATTATATTATATTATATTATATTATATCATATTATATCAAATTATATTATATTATATTATATTATGTTATATTATATTATATTATGTTATATTATATTAAATGTAATGAAATGGCTGCAAAGTTATCATTGCAGAAAAGTGAAACCATTAAAAAATATATTTGTCAAAAAAATAGACCTTAACTGAAATAAAAATAAATAAATCTAACTTATTATGTAACTTATTTCAGCATTTTGCCTAGATATTTTGCCTTAATCCTTAAGTACTAAAATAACTCAAATTAAAACTGAGGGGGGGGGGGGGGGGGGTTACATGTTTAGACACTATAAATATATTTCTATGATGCTATGAAGTTGAATGAATCTATTAATTGATTTAAACCATCAATTAGGGTTGCAGAGTTTGACATCCGCAATTTTTACATTTTTTCAAATGACTTGTTAGTGACAAAATTGTTTGTTTGATTATTTTCCTTTCCTCATTTAAATATTTTTTGTTTATTTTCAACTTAAATTTTGAGAAAAGGTTTGAGAAAACTTGCTGTGTGTGTGTCATGCAGACATTTCAATTTTCGTTTGGTTATTATTAGACATGAAGACCAGAAAGTGGACCTTTCTCCTTGAGGACTATGGGAAACTCAGTAAGTTTTGGACTTTGAGTACTGTATTTAGCTGTATATATATATACAGTTGAAGTCAGAATTATTAGCCCCCCTGAATTATTAGACCGCTTGTTTATTTTTTCGCCAATTTCTGTTTGATGGAGAGAAGATTTCTTCAGCACATTTCTAAACATAATAGTTTTAATAACTCATCTCTCATAACTGATTTATTTTATCTTTGCCATGATGACAGTGAATATTATTTGACTAGATATTTTTCAAGACACTTCTATACAGCTTAAAGTGACATTTAAAGGCTGAACTAGGTTAATTAGGTTAACTAGGCAGGTTAGGGTAATTAGGCAAGTTATTATATAACGATGGTTTGTTTTGTAGATTATCAAAAAAAAAAAGCTTAGAGGGGCTAAAAATATTGTCCCTAAAATGGTGTTTAAAACTTTTATTCTAGCCAAAATATAAAACAAATCAGACTTTCTCCAGAAGAAAAAATATTATCAGACATACTGTGAACATTTTCCTGCTTTGTTAAACATCATTTGTAAAATATTTTTAAAAGAAGAAAAACATTTGAAGGGGACTAATAATTCTGACTTCAACTATATATATATATATATATATATATATATATATATATATATATATATATATATATATATATATATATATATATATATATATATACATATATACATTTACAGTGGGGGAAATAAATATTGAACACATCACCATTTTACTCAGAAAACATATTTCTAAAGGTGCTGTTGATCTGAAATTTTCACCAGATGTTGGTAACAACCAAAAAAATTGGAGACAACAAATCTAATTGGTTTAAAAATAAAGTTATGTGTAATAAAATGAAACCACAGAGATAAAGTATTGAACACATGAAGAAAGGGAGGTGTGGTTCGGCAGTGAAAGCCCAGACAGCAGCTGAAATCTCTCAGTGGTTCTTCAGCAACCCTCTGCCCTTCTTTAGTGTAAATGAATGTCAGCTGTTTCAGTTCACCATCTACATTAGCAGGAAATGAAACCAGGGTGGACATTTCAGGAAGACAATGATCCAAAACACAGCCTCTCAAAGAGAAAGAAAACCAAGCTGTAGAAGGGCCTAGCCAATCCCCTGACTACAATTCAATAGAAAATACAAAATAAAGCTCAGATTTGATAGACGAGACCCACAGAAGCATCAAGAATTTGACACTCTGTTGAAGTCTGTGAAAAACACACCTGAGCATTGCATGAGGCTTTATTCTGCATATGAGAGGCGTCTTTAAGCTGCGAGCAAAACAGCCTTTAATATAAAGTGTTAAACACGTTTCAGTTGTTCAGCTCTATCTCCTTGTGTCATTCTATTGTTATTACACATAACAAATTTTCAGATTTATTTTGTTTTGTTTTATTTTTATATTTGTATTGTTTGGGTTTTACCAAAATCTTGTTTAATTCCACGTCAACAGCTTCTTTAGAAATATTATTTCCAGGAAAAAAAGACATGATGGGCTCTATTTTGATGGTCCATGCACAGAGCGCAAAACGCAGGGCGCAAACGCTTTCAGGGCGTGTCAGAACGCATTTTTGCTAATTTACGGACGGGAAAATGTGCTTTGCGCCAAGGCGCATGGTCTAAAAGGGTTGACTTTATTTTCTTAATGAGTTATAGGTGTGTTTTGAGAATAAACCAATTAGAATCTCATCTCCCATTCTCTTCAAGAGCCAGCTGCGTCGCGCCAAGAGCACATTCGCTATTTACTGGACGCAAAGTAAGTCTAAGTGGAAAAAATGAGCATTTCACAAGCAAACAGTTTACAGCTTTTAACAGAAAACTGTTAAACAGAGCATCTACTGCGTGAGAATGAGAGATAATGGATCTACTTTCACATTCACTCTTGGATAGGGAAACCTTTACGCACAGACATCAATTAGTCTATAAATAATTAATTGCGTTTGTTAAGCGCAAATATTTGTTTTAAAACTATTTCTAAATTCAGTTCTAATTTCCACCAAACGAATAAATGAACAATAATGACCAAGTGTGGTCAAAATACTGAGTTATTTCCAAATACACCTGCCGTGCCCCATATGATCTAAAACCTGGCAGGTGGGCAAATCTAAGCTTGTTTTTAATAAAACAAATATAAATATGGATATAATAAATAATACTGCTAATAATAATAACATTTTACAAAAGCAAATTGTTATGAATGAACTGAAAAAGCCTCCCGAGATGAAGAAGACATAAAAGCAGTGGTTTTTCATATTTATGTAGGCTAGAAAATAATATGTTTTGTAATATTTTAATTCTTTATATTTATATTCTATATCTATTCTTATTATATCCTATATATATCCTTAATATTTACAATTTTACATGTAAAGATATTTGCCTGTTGCTCTCTTGTGCGTATTAAGCAGTGTGTAAGCGAGGCGCAACTCTGCGCTGGAGTTTAGACCGGGTTAGTTTTGGTCAAATGAAAAATATATTTTAATTTCTCAAAATAGCGACGCGCCAGCGGTCCGCCTCAGAACGCCTTCCTTTTTAGACCAGAACGCCAATGGGCGCACAAATGAGCGCTAATGCATTTGCTATTTAAACAGCGTAGCACAACGCCTTAAAACTACTATTGCGCCAAGCTGAAACTACCAAAAGACTACTGCGTCACGCCTTGCGCCACACTGCGCCGGGTGTATGATTGGGCCTGATGTGTTCAATACTTATTTCCCCCGCTGGATTTGCGTAGAATTTAATATTTCCATGCATGTGGTTGATGATGATGATGATGATGGTGTGTGTGCGTGCGTGTGTGTAGTGGCGGATCTGAATGAACTGCCTACAGTGGAGACTGAGCCTTTACCTCACGCCGTCCTCCAGTCCTTCTCCAGTCAGTTTGAAAAAACCGAATCCCGAGCTCCAGTCCCTCCTGAAGCAGATCTCTCACACATCGATCCACAACTCACACGCAGCCTCATGCCTTTCCAGAGAGACGGAGTCAAGTACGTTAACTTTAATTTATTGAACAAGTTTGACAAATCGAGATTGCAATCTTTTTTTTAATTAATTGTGCAGCTCTACTGTACATACATTAGGATATAGGATATACTCCTTCCTCTCTTAAGCATGATAAATGTTTATACGTATTCACCACATCGAAAGTTTTAAAAAAGTTTTTTTTTTTTTTTGTCTTTTATTTTATTTTGCATAACCTCAATTTCTCCATAATTTAGATTCTATTGTTATTATTATTGTTTTATTTTGTTATTGTTACTATTTGAAGGTCACGAGTGGCTGTGTAAGCAGTTCAATGCATATCATACTGTGTATGTCACTGTATGTGACAAATACAACTTGAATTTGATTTGAAAGGTGGCTTTGGATAAAAGCTTCTGTCAGGCACATGAGTGTAAATGTAATGTTTGCTGATGCCTCAGTTTTGCAGTGTCCAGAGAGGGTCGTTTGCTCCTGGCTGATGATATGGGCCTCGGGAAGACGGTTCAGGCCATCTGCATTGCTGCCTATTACAGAAGTGAGTGGCCTCTGCTGGTGGTCGCCCCGTCCTCAGTGCGCTTCACATGGGCTGAGGTACATGCTGTTTTTATTTATGCATCTCACAACCTTCAGAAATATGCTCATCAGGGATGCATTGATTTGGTTAAACAGTAATGATGTGAACAAATGTTATACAGTAGGTTAACCCTTAAAGGGCCATGACACCCCCCACTTTCGGTTAAAGTCTACTTCAGAATTTTTTTCAAAAGATGCATGATTAATGGGCATGGAGCTCTGCGAGCATCGGGCAGGAGTGGGCTAGGCCAGCAGGGGAGAACGTGAGCGAACAACTGTTGTTGTCAGTCAGCTCACAAACTGAGACATACAGTGAGGAGAAGCATGAGTTTATATTTTAAGTTAAAATGTTTAAGTTATATTTTAAGTTAAAATGCAAAGAAGTGAACAGTGATTTAATGCCCTGCTACATTTGTTATTCGTAATTTAATATACAAACAACCACAATTTATATCATTATAAAGATAAGTGTGTTCATGTAAACCCTATAAATGAGGACTTCTCCCTCAATCCCCGTATCCAGCAGACTCAGTGCAGCAGGTCACCTGACCTTCCTATTTTAACCATTAGCCCTGCTGGTAATCTGGAGGATTTAGGCAAACACAGCAGCACAGTGATGTGTCTGAATGTAAACGAACTCCTGATAAAAGACAGCGTCCGCCATTCTCTAATTCTCGTGCTGCTCTCCCGACAAAAATGCTAGCAGCACACACACAGCTTTGCTGTATGATCGGCCCTGACAAGATCGCGGGGGAAAACATGCAACAAACCCCGTGGATCATGGAAACAAACGCATATGAGCCTACATGAATGGCTAAATACTGTGTGCCGTGGGTCCGTGTCTCACAGCTCGGGCTTGACACTGGCAGGTCTGGCAGGTCTGGCAGGTCTCATGAATAATTAAGCAGCCGGCTCTTCTCATAGGATAAGAAAACTCCGCTATGAATAATAATGAGAAACCGACGCGTCATCATTGCACTTGCAGTACTGCGCTACGTCGCCGATTTTGATCCCGCCCCAAAAATCATTTTAAACCCGGAAGCTGAAATGAGCTGACAAAAGCTCAAAATTATCCAGTTTTCCCCACAATTAAAGCTGACAGGTGCTAACATTGTCTTAACTGATGCTCAACACACACACATCTGCTAATATAAAAAAAAAAGTTTTCCAGGGTGTCCTGAACCTTTAAAGGCAAGGCAAGTTTATTTATATAGACCATTTTGAATGACGTAAACAAAAACAATGGTCGCAGTGAATTTCCTGTTTTACATTTGTAATTTCTATAGCTTCCGAGAATCCAAAAAGAGCCACATATTGATAAATAATGTTATGAAAGCTGTTTTAATATCAAGTTATGATTCAATTGCCTCTTGTTACTGTTTTGAAATGGTTTGATAACAAGCAGGAAATGTTCATGGGGCAGTGACATGACCATATTGAAATGGTCTATAGCACATTTTGTACACAATGGTAATTCAAATTGCTTTACGTTACCAATAAATAAAAGATTCTGTTGGTGAAAGATAAAAGTTTTGTTGTTCAGCTGTGAGGAATGGAAGTGTTAGGTATTGGTTAGGACAAAAACTAATTGTAATATGGAAAATATTCCTTCTATCACGTGCCGTTGCCTTAAGACATGGTGTAGGATCAATAGTCAGGCACGCTCCTCTTGATGTTGTCAATCTGGCAACCAGCACTTGCCTGAAGTCATCAGAGAAGGGGCTGAGTGAAAATGTGTTTTGAACCAGGAGTGCAATACCTAGTTCAACCACTGGGTGTCAAACTTACATACTGCACCTTTAAGTTTTTTGGAGCACGTCTGGTCATATCTGTGAGCTGATTCCAGTAGTAGCTGAAGACATTAACAGTGTTGCCAGATGTAGCCGACTGTTTCCAGCACAAAATGGTGCGTCTCGTAGGGAGATCACAGCTGTTGTAAGCGTTTGTATGTGGAAAACGGAGGCTATGGCACCTTTTTGGGAGATCATAACAGGTTTATAAGTGAAGACCGGGGTTGGTGGGCACGCCGTTACAAAACCACCCAATTTTACAATACTTACTAAGTATTTACTTAAGATTTACTAAGTCATTTTCTACCCGCAAAAATAAATTCAAAACCGCCCAATTTGGTGGGAAACCGCCCAATCTGGCAACACTGGACCTTAAAGACCTAGAGCTAGGTCTTTTGTTGTGGGCACTTGTCTTGCCTGCATTGTTTTTTTTTCGTTTTTTTTAGCAGTCTTCAGGGCCGTACTGTTCACATATTGCATCTAAAAATGCATGGAAAGCACGAGGCACATCGCTTTCTTTACTGATGGATTATATGCACAGCTAGTGTTTTTCCCCATAGCGATAAGCTTCTGGGGCCTCATGTACGAAGACTTGTTTTAAATTCATACTAAAACATTCAGTAAAAAATTCAGATGTATAAAACACTGCGTACATGGAATCCCATGCATATTCTCTTTGTACATCCTAAGTAATGTGAAACTGAGCGCAGGTGCATGAGCACAATACCCCTCCCTGCCTCCTCCCCCATATAAATATGGTAATGACTCCACTTCGGCTAAACCAAATGAAAAAGCAGCAATGGCAAAAGCAGGCAAGAAGAGAAACTGGTGTGGAACAATGGAATTTAATGCAGGGCTTCTTGTCAAGTCTGAGACCCACTTCTTATCGCATCTCAATCAGGCAGTGAAGATCACTGATTTTACAAAGAAATCAGATCTTATACGGGGCGATTTTGTAATAGCATGACAGTACACTGGAAGCGCTTGGCCTGGCTGACTGGAAAAAAAAAAAGTTTCAATAGCCCTTTTCACACGGTGATACCGGTAAATATCTGGAAAATTTCCGGAACGACTTTACCGGTATATTCAAAAAAGTGCTGTTCACACAGGCGAGGACGTTACAGAAATTTTCCGGAAAAGAGCATTCACACATCCATTCCAAAATACCGGTAATTTCTGACATCATTCACCACAAATGAGCTTTAAACGGCTGCGCTTGTATTTGTAAACATTTGACTAAATTACAAACTCTGTGGATGATCAATATTGTGAACAACTTTCGCAGGATCACTTTCGCATGTCGAGATGTTCATAATATGTGCGTGTGCAGGCGCTCACAGGCTGTTTCACAGGCACACGCAAAGCTTGGAAGGTAAACAAACAACGGCTTATCATAAGCATCTCATCGATGATTATTTACACAGTTGGCATTAAGAAGAACATATAAACGTGATCTGACTAACTTCTAGCGGCTAAATGTGTCTGGAAAAATATTCAAAGGTTTTTATTCTCACAAACTGTGCGGACGTAAATGCGTCTGACTGTTGTGATTGGCTAAAGCAGACGTCTCACGTCAGCACGTTCTAGACGTGCACGCGCTTATTACGGCAATCTTCCTTCTGCATTCACACAGCGCAGCATTCCGGCAAATTGCCGGTAATGTCACAACTTCTCTTTCCGGAAAATAGCCAGAACGAATTTACCGGTATTTTCAAAAAGGACCTGTTCACACATACAACCTTTCCGGAAAATTGCCGGCAATTTTCCGGAAAGGTCTGTATGTGTGAAAGGGGCTAATGTGTTTTGTGCTCCTGTGGTGTCTGTCATTGCTAAGCAATTATTATCTCAGTGGATGACAAACTGACAAGCACTGCAGCATCTACCATGCCAGAAATTCTGAAATAGTTGGGGGTTCATTCCGCTGTGGCGACCTCCGATAAATAAGGGACTAAGCTGAAGGAAAATGAATGAATATTCTATACAGAGTATAAAGCTGATCGGTTAGTTGTAATCTAAAGACGAATGAATTTTGTTTTCATTCATTCACTTTCTTTTTGGCTTAGTCTCTTCATTATTCTGGGGTCGCCACAGAGGAATGAACCGCCAACTTATCCAGCATATGTTTTACACAGGGGATGCCCTTTCAGCTGCAACCCATCACTGGGAAACATCCATACACACTCATACACTACGGACAATTTAGCTTACCCAATTCACTATAGCGCATGTCTTTGGACTTGTGGGGGAAACTGCAGCACCCGGAGGAAACCCACGTGAACACGGGGAGAACATGCAAAATTGTGTTGTTGTTTTTTTTTCTTAGGCTTTCCGCCGATGGCTGCCTTCAGTGAAGCCAGACAGCATTAATGTGGTGGTTAAAGGAAAAGACAACCTACGCTCCGGCCTCATCAACATCATCAGCTATGACCTGCTCAACAAGATGGACAAACAGCCGCCGTCCAGCCCGTTCAACGTCATCATCATGGTGAGAACCAGACATTTACATCCATCCTTATTTCATATACGAGCTACTTTTCAATCGAGGAAGACAATTCTAAACATAATAGTTTTAATTACTAATAATAATAATTCCTTACATTTATATAGCGCTTTTCTGGGCACTCAAAGCGCTTTACACAATAGGGGGGAAAATCCTCGTCCACCACCAGTGTGCAGCATCCACCTGGATGACGAGACGGCAGCCATATTGCGCTAGACCGCACACCACACACCAGCTGATTGGTGGAGAGGAGACAGAGGCTGTTCCTCAATACCAAGTACGCAAACTTCGGACTTGCGTCCTTGGAAGTTCAGACTTGGAAGAACGAACTCCCGAGGACGCGAGGACACAAGTCGGGTACTTCTTCAAATGGAACAGCAGTGTACTTTATAAAGTCACTTACCTCACCCTGGATTCATCAGTTTCACTGTACATTAACAATAAAATGATTTAATAAATATTATATTAATATTATAAATCTACATTTTTGATTTAAAAAAATGTACACAAATATTCATAAACATGTTAATTAAAATGAGTTATTATACACTGACACATCTTTGATTATCAGAGTTATTAAACTACAATGGTAATTTTACCCACAATAGGAAATAAAGACATACACGATAACAAATAAAGATTACGTCAAGCAATTTGGCAAAGACAAACAGCGTACAACATGGTAACATAATTAAAGACAATTATAAAAGGTAACAAAATAACACTGCCAAAATAACACACCTGAGAACAAATAATAGATTTATAAGACCAAAAACTGTCCGTTAGATATTCACAAGATGTATTAAATATCATGTTTTAACTACAATGAAGAGATGAGATCCAGCGGTACGTCTGATATGGCCTGGCCGAAGTAAAGCTGCTCTGGCGGGGGAGCTGATGACGGAGCTCCTGCTGGCAGGCTGGGAGACGGAGTCCGCATAAGCCGAGCCACATCGTTAAAGAAGCGCTATTATTGTGAATAAACTGCCTATTCGAGTTTAAAACAACTACATTCTCGCCTAAAAAACTCTTAAAACTTTATTTTGTGACACAGTAAAGGAGTATTTTTAAAATTGTGCGGGTTTCCTCCTCCGCCATTAGCTTTCGCTGGTTACACTGCAATGCATTCTGGGATACCTGAGCTCTGAAAGTTCGCACAAGCCACCTCTCTATGCATCCTTGGCTAAAGGCCAGAGCAAGTACACATCCGGGAATTTCATGTGTACTTGGAAAGATGTGAACTTTAGAATTGGAACAGTACTTTGGCGACGGTTGATGACGTTTCACGAGGACACAAGAACGCAAGTACAGAAAAGAACGCATATTGAGAAACGGCCAGTGTGATGAAGCCAATTATGATATGGGGATGGTTAGGAGGTCAGGATGGACCGACCAGTGGGCAAATTTAGCCATGGGATTTTTTTTTAAACGACCACAGAGAGTCAGGACCTCTGTTCTCATCTGAAAGACGGCGCTTACTGAGCAGTATAGCGTTCCCGTCACTATACTGGGGTATTACGACCCACACAGACGACAGGTTGGGCGCCCCCTGCTGGCCTCACTAACACCACCTCTGGTAGCAACCTAGCTTTCCCAAGTGATTTTTCATCCAGGTACTGACCGGCCGCAGCCCTGCTTAGCTTCAGTGGGCGACCATGTGAAAATTGTAGAAAGCTAGCTGCCGAACATTTCTAATAACTGATTTCTTTTATCTTTGCCATGATGACATCACATAATATTAGACTAGATATTTTTCAAGATAGTAGTTTTCAGCTTAAAGTGACATTTAAAGGCTTAACTAGGTTGATTAGGCAGATTAGGGTAATTATGCAAGTCTTTGTAGAACAGTGGTTTGTTCTGTAGACTATCAAAACAAATTATTGCTTAAGGGGGCTAAAATAATGATCTTAAAAAGGTTTAAAAGAATTAAAAACTGCTTTTATTCTGGCCGAAATAAAACAAATAAGACTTTCTCCTGAAGAAAAAATATAATAGTGTGAAAAATACTGGGAAAAAGTCCTGACATTATTTGGGAAACATTTAAAAAAGAACAACAAATTCACAGGAGGGCGAATAATTGTGTCTGGAGTAGTTCTGTGTAGAAACCAAAAAGCAATGCCTTTGCCATATCATCCCATAAACCCTGCGTCCTTCAAATATCAAGACCTTTAAAGCTGTTTGAGCTCTTCTGATTTCATCTGTTTGTTTGTTTTTTTCCCTGCAGGATGAGTCTCACTTCCTGAAGAACATGAAAACGGCTCGCTGTCGGGCGGCTCTTCCTCTGCTCAAGGTCTGCTGTTATTTTAGGCATCTTTCATAGTGCTGATCTTTAAAACACTGCTTTGGTTAGAGTTCACAGACTTTGGCTGCGTCTCAAAGCCTGCTGTGCTGCCTACATAATAAGCCTTGCTGGGCATCAGGAATGAGTAGGCTTAGAACATGCCAGTTTTTTCCAGAAATTTTGCCTGGAAATGAATAAAAGCCTTAAGGTTTCGGTCCTAAGCAAAGAAATGAAGACGGCCATAGTGTTGTAATTGAACCGTTTTTTTATTTGACAAATTTCAAAGCTCATTACAGCCATTATATTAATAGATTTTTATAGTATTGTAATTTTACAGCTGTAATGTTAAATTAAGTTCTTATTTAAATGCATCATTTAACAGGAGAATATTACAGTGAATATGTCTTAATTGTTACAAATATTTTTGGACATGGTAACTTACATTTTTTGTCCAAATTGTAGCCCTACAAACAAGCACAGCAGTTCTGGATTTTAGTTAATGAATTCATTTTAAATCACAATTAATATTATTTTTTTAATTTGCCATTTACAAAAGCTTGACAGAGCTGGATTATATTACTTTGCATTAACCATTCTCAGATTATTATTTTTTAGAGAATCTCGGAAACCAGAGAATTAGAAAGTGTCATTCATTTTTAAATACAGTTTATTTATATATGTATATATATATATATATATATATATATATATATATATATATATATATATATATATACACACTGGCGATCAAAATTAGAGAACAATTTATAAATAATTGAACAATTCTGAAATAATGTCATCTTCACTGCTCAACAGTTGAAGGATTTTTTGTCCCGTCCATACCATGCTACCAGAACACCTTTTCCACAAAATAACAAAAGCATTTCAACAAAAAACATTATTTTGCAGAAAACACACTGATCAAAATTAGAGAACAACAATGACTGTAGCATGGAAAAAGATTACAGCAAAATTTTCTGAAGGTTACAACAGTCAGCAATTAGTATGAAGTGTATAGGCCTCTGCTCTGAATGACTTCAGCACATCTGTGGCCACAAGACAGCACTAGTCTCTCACACTGCTCTGGTGTGATTTTTGGCCCACTCTTCTTCCAGTGTTCTCGACAGTTCAATGACTGTAAAGGGTTTCTTGGCCATAACTTTGCCACCAAGGATTTTCCAGAGGTTCTCTATTGGGTTGAGGTTAGGACTCTGGGCAGACCATGTCATTATTTCAATATTTTCAGTTTCAAGGAACTGCTTTACCCATTTTGCTGTGTGACATGGCACGTTTTCCTGCATGAACACTGCAAGCTGATTGGGTGTTGAACGCAGGGAAGCAACCATATGTTGTTGAAGAAGGTCCTGATAAAAATTTGCATTTACTCTGCCAAATAGCTGTAGAGGTCCAACTCCTTCTGCAAAAAACTTGCCCCAAACCATGGCACTTCCTCCTCCACTTTTCACTGACTCCTATACACACTTTTTGTTCAGTTTTTCTCCAGTTTGTCGCCAAACATATTGTTTCCCATCGGACCCAAATAAATTAAACTTGCTTTCATCACTAAAGTGAACTTTAGAGCAGTTCTCCTCTGTCCACACAACATGCTCCTGAGCAAAGCTTAGTCTAGCCTTTTGATTCTTTCTGCTAATGAGAGGTTTGGTGACTGCAGAGAGGGCTTTTAGTCCAAATGCTCTTAAACATCCAGACACTGTATGACGAGACAGATCTTTACCCTGTTCAGTGCTGAACTGGTGAGCAATTCCAGCTGTAATGTAAAATCGATTGCCCATTGAGATCCTCCGCAGTATCCTGTCCTCTCTTCTGTGGATGAACAGCCTTCTTGAGGGACTTGAATGAGTTTGTGACGTTGTCAAGATTCAATATTCTTGAAATCATAGATTTAGAACAACCAACTTGTCTTGCTATGGCAGATAGGGTCAGTCCTTTGGCCTTTATCTGGACAACCTGCTGCCGAAGGCTTTCAGTCACTTTAGAACGGTCCACCACCTTGCAGAGGCAGTGAAACTGGAAGTCAGGCTGCCAGCTAAATAGGGGTTGACAGATAATGAAGGGAATTAGCACCAGATGCCAGATTGACACCAATAACTGAGCGGTATCTGAAAGTGTTCTCTAATTTTGATCAGTGTGTTTTCTGCAAAATAATGTTTTTTGTTGAAATGCTTTTGTTATTTTATGGAAAAGGTGTTCTGGTAGCATGGTATGTAAGGGACAAAAAAATCATTCAACTGTTGAGCAGTGAAGATGACATTATTTCAGAATTGTTCAATTATTTATAAATTGTTCTCTAATTTTGATCGCCAGTGTGTATATTTATATATATATATATATATATAATTCGATATCAGTAATTATACTGATATAAAATTTTTCGATAAAACGATAATGACAGTGTGATAATTGCTCAATAATATTTACGCACTATGCGTAACATTGCGCAAGCATTTTGAAGCCTGCCCTTCCGGATGCCGCACGCCTTACAAGTTTACAGCCATACAGTGTTAGGGTGCTTTCACACCTACACTTTTGTTTCGAAACGTGTCTCGTTTGCCCAGTTAGCACGGTTCGATTGGCATATGTGAACAGGGCAATCGCACTCTGTTCCGCGCCAAAGTAATCGCTCCGAGATCGCTTGAATGAGGTGGTCTCGGCTCGATTGAAACGAACCCTGGAGCGGTTCGATTGCAGTGAGAAAGCGATCCGATCCAAGCGCGGTTATATCACAGTGTTTTATGGATATGTAATAGGCTTACGGCTATATGAAGAGAGAATTATGAGTAGGCGGGAAGTTTCGCGAGTCTACGGATGCCCGCAAACGAGTGATGATCTCCCGGTAATCTCGCGTCTCCCACCCGGTCCTCAAATAGGCATCGTCGCGCACCCTTCTCACCCCTCCCCACCGCGTCTCTCCTCAGACACATCACGCGCGCGCACCCTGTCAATCACCACCAAACCACCACCTCTCCTGACAGCTGAGCGGGACACTGCAAAATAAACCCTGACACTCTGACCAATGTGAGGAGAGTTTACTCACACGTGACTTGTTTAAGCTCTTTTGGTCCGATTAGAAACTTTGCAATGTGAAAACGAACCGCTCCAAGAGCAAAGAGCAACAATGTAACAATTGTAATCTCTGTTTCGGAACAACTGAATCGATTCACGGGTGTGAAAGCACCCTTAGTTGTACTTAAAGGAGTAAGAAAAAAGGGTAAAAAAAGGTCAGAGTCGCAGACATTGTTGACAAGAAACGTCACTAGACCTCAGTCTTGAGCTATTTAGTTTTTTGCTATCTGACACAAAACAGCAACGTGCACTGCAAACTGCGCAAGACAACTCGTGTCATCAAAAGCAGGCAACACATCAAGCCTGTTTCATCATTTAAACCAACACCAGCCTTATGAAGATGCTAAGAAATTACAGACCTAAACAAGTGCTGGAAAACCAGGGCAACTACCCAGCAGAGTCCCATGTCATCATTTTCGAAAGCCGTCCTTTACGAGAAAAAACCCCCGAAAAGACAGACGAAAGATATGACAGACAACACAATCTCAATCACATCTCAATGAACACTTGAAGCTTGCTCTACAGGCTGCATTAAGGATATTTACACTACAACATTTACACTAATAAAAATAATATCATAATGTAGCAAATCGAAAGGATCAAACAATAAATTGTTAAACTCGAGTAAGGGGACGATAGTGAAGCCAAACAAAAGAAAGAAATATAACAAAACAATTCTAATTTATGAATAACCCCTCTTACCTCGCTAAAAACTGACGAAAAGAAAAAAAAAGTCCTTCAGCGCAGCGCCGCATTCTTCCCTATACTGAATAAAATAAATATAAAGATGACGTTCACCTCTGATGTCTTTAACAATACATTTTCTACGTGTTTGCAAAATGCAAGTCGTACGACATCTTCCCTATCCATCTTACTCTGAGAAAAGAGTGAACTTAAGGAGATAAATCTCAATATTGTCTGGAAAGAGCAGAGCCAAAAAATAACATACAAATCAATCTAAATAAACATGAACGAAACTCACAAAATTTCTCAAAGTGGGCAAAATAATTTTACCCAAATGAAAGTTAAGCAAAAACACAGAAAATCATAATCATGTCAGCAAAATACACCAAAAACGAGATCAAAGGAAAAGGCGCGCTCTCCACTTTTCATATCCCCGCGCGGCCGCGCCATCTCCGCCTCGCCTCCGAAACGTGTTGTGTACAGGGGACCTGTGTGCAAAGGAGGAAGAACTTTCTCTCTGAGAGAAAAACAGGGCTGGTGCTCGAGCACTCAAACCACCTTTCTGCACGTGTCTGCTGTTTATAACGAAATAAAATTAAATAACTCCGCAAACTAAGATGAACCAACTCCACCTTCACAGCTCAGTCGGCGGCTACTCATTAACCCTTGGTGAGTTCATTACACTGGTGATCAGAGCGCCACACAACGCGGTGGTCATAAATCACAAACGATCAGTGTTTTTTTTAATCACTGGAGACTTATTTTAGGTCTTAAATGCTTTAACATTATTAGTGGCAGAACAATCATTTACAGTTCATGAAATACACCACGGTTGTCTGTGAAAAGGGTAATAATCATATAAGCATGATCTGACAAAGTGCTTACTCATGCAGCACTCACGTGTGCATAATTAAACATTTTGTGCTCTCCGTGATGTACTTTTGCGCATGTGGGTCAGTTTAAGACCATGCAGATCTGAGAAAAAATCAGATTTGAGCACTAAGCCTTGCATTGTGAACTTAGCCATAGGCGTCGTGATTCAATCGTTTCTTCTCGTGTAATGTGGCATAGTTCACGACAACCGATCCCATGCCTGCGCCGCCTCACGACACCGTCGCAGAAAGTCTAGCATGTTTAATTTTTTCTCGTTCTTTACAACGAGCTCCACCACGTGGGTGACACGGCCCAATAGGAGCACATCATTTATCAGTTATTTTAGTGGGTGCTGCTGTTAATGAGCTGGTCAGGTAATCAAAAACAGGCTGCATATTTACAGATGGGTTGGTCACGGGTGGATATACCCAGTCATTGGCTATGCAAGCTTTAACAACTTTCTCTAAAATATTAAAGTGTTTTAAGCAATTTTATCTGACAGACTGGCACAAATATGCCGACATCTCCATTCTGAGTTCTCTCTTCCAGGGGCACCAGCAGGATTTTATTCAAAGTTACACACATATCCAGCACCACCCGCCCCATCATCATCCCTTATTCTCATTTCAATCATTAAAAACACTGATGCTTGCTGTCAAAGGCTACATTCATTCATTGTCGCGAGTGAGACCGAGAAAATAAAAGCACATCATTGTATTTTAATAATTTTCCACAATTCTCCCCCTCAATTTGTTAGTTATAATGTAAAATAAAGTAATTATTATTAATATTATTTGTATATTATTTAATACTCGAATGTACTGTACTTTAATATCTTAATGCAGTAATGCACGTTTTTATTTAGTTAGAATAATTACAATAATAAAGACTTTTATACGATATAAATACTCTTAAACTTCCTTTCCGTTCTTTGCATCTTCTTATGTAAAATAAAATAATTATTATTCATATTATTAAGTACTCGAATGTCCTGTGCTGTAATTACTTGAATCTAAATACTCTTAAATAAACTTCTTTTCCCTTTATTGCACTTTCTTAGTTGATCCCACACATTACCTGTGTAGGAATGGGTTTTAACCGCAGCGGTTCGAACTGTAGTTTGACTAAAAGGTTATCAGTATTGATGGTAAAAAACTGTACATCTCTAGTCAAACCATTCTTCTGCAATCTTATGCCAAACACAGAAATAAGGGCAGCATTAATAGCTTAAAATGTGGAAGAGCGTTGATATTATGTGATTGTATTCTATTGCAATATGCAGTAATTAAAAGTTGATGTTAAATCAAAAGTAATTCACAAATACTTGAAAATGAGATGATTTAATGGCAATAATTCTCTGTGGTTACAACTGAATTAATTACAAACAACTGTATAAAATGATAAAACATGAAATGATAAAACATATGATATAAATTGTACCCAGCTTAAATTAAAAATAAAGTTACCAGAGGTAGAAGGAGAGACACAGGGGTAGGGAGAGAGAGACAAAGAGAGCAAGTAGGCCTCAAAGATAGACTCCAGAGGAGGAGAGGAGAGGAGCAGAGCAGGAGAGCGCAGACCAGGAAAAGAAGAGGCTGAGCAGCGTTTACCACCTGTTTTGTATCTTTCTTGACCATGTGACTAAAGCCCAAATGCTAAGACTTTCAAACTGACCAATCAACATGTGACCACATTGTAAAACCCCCAAAGTCCACATACCAGGCCCTGATCTTATCAGTATCTGCCTTTGTAGTCAGTATGGACCTTCTCGAGTCAAAAAGACATGTTTTGTCATATAAACAAATGCATATGATCATTTAGCCCAGGGATGGGCTAACTTGATCCTCGAGGGCCGGTGTCCCTGCAGAGTTTTGTTCCAACAGTAGTCAAACACACCTGCACATGCTAATCAGTGGCTGTTTCTCAATATGCGTTCTTCAGCGGTCTTGCGTCCTCGTGTTCTCGTGCAACGTCATCATCAGCTGCCCAAGTTCAGTTCCAATACTCAAGACCGCAAGTGCGGAGGACGCGTGAAACTTCCCGGATGTGTTCTTGATATCGAGGACGCACCGATGCAGACTTGAGCAACGAACTCGCTCTGGAAGTCCCAGAAGTCATTGCGACTGGAGGTGGGAAGCGCAACATTTTATTTAGATTTATTAATAAAGTTCAGAGATATCACTTATTTACCTCAGGAGTTTCCCTAAATGAACCGGTGAAAGTAATCATTAACTTGGACATCTTAATAAAGGAATAAACACATTAAGGGTGTTTGTTTGCTGAAATTCGTATTAAAATCTGTTTTATTTATATTGTGCAGAGTATATTTATAATGTTTTTATGCATAGTATGTATTTTGAAGAGGGGAGAAACAATAAATTGTTGTATGAGTGCTGTAATGTTTAAATAATTTACTATTTAAAACGCGTGAAGGTCACGTGACCATCAGGAAGAACGCAGCATCTCATTTCTCAAAGGACGCATTCTCTGCCCTCGCGGTCTCCTGAGTTCGTTCTTCCGAAGACACCTGGCAAGACCGGTCTCCACAAGAACGCAAGTCCGTTCTCTGCGTTCTTGGAATTGAGAAACAGCCAGTGTCTTTAAGATTACAAGAAATCTATAAGCAGGTGTGTTTGATTAGGGTTGGAGCTAAACTGTGCGGGACACCGGCCCTCCAGGACCGAGTTTGCCCATTCCTGATTTAGCCTCTTACACCTGTTATGGTTTTCGCATTTCAGTTTTACTGTATATTGTGAAGACTGGATTTGTTCTTTGATTTTGGTTGACATCATTAGCTTGTGTTGAGCTGATAATTACGCTCTGGTGTGTTTCTAATATAACAGACAGCTAAGAGAGTGATCCTGCTGTCAGGAACGCCAGCCATGTCCAGACCCGCTGAACTCTACACTCAGATTCAGGCTGTCCGGCCCGCACTGTTTCCACGCTTTCATGACTTCGGCACACGATACTGCGATGCCAAACAGGTACGTTCATCTATTCTGTTTAATAAATTATTTAAATCTTTATTTAATTTGATGATGATGTTTGCTACTGTTTTCAACATGTAAAAGATTTAACATGCTGCTTGCATGTCTTACAAGAAGGGAAACATGTTACAACATTTTGCTTACATTTTATGTTGCTATTTTAATATTATTGACAAAAATTAGCATGATGTTAGCATGTTTTAGCATAAATGATCTTTGCATGTTTAACCATTTGTTAGCATAAATTAGCATGTTTCCTGCATGAATTATCCTAGTCTATTTAAGCAATTGTTAGCATAAATTAGCATGTTTTAGCATGAATTATCCTAGCATGTTTAAGCAATTGTTAGCGTAAATTAACATGTTTCTAGCATGAATTGTCCTAGCATATTTAAGCAATTGTTAGCATTAATTAGCATGTTTCTAGCATGAATTATCCTAGCATGTTTAAGCAATTGTTAGCGTAAATTAGTATGTTTCTAGCATAAATTATCCTAGCATATTTAAGCAATTGTTAGCATAAATTTGCATGTTTTAGCATAAATTATCTTTGCATGTTTAACCAATTGTTGGCATAAATTAACATGTTTCCAGCATGAATTATCCTAGCATATTTAAGCAATTGTTAGCGTAAATTAGCATGTTTCTAGCATGAACTATCCTAGCATTTTTAAGCAATTGTTAGCATAAATTAGCATGTTTTAGCATAAATTATCTTTGCATGTTTAACTAATTGTTAGCATAAATTAGCATGTTTCCAGCATGAATTATCCTAGCCTATTTAAGCAATTGTTAGCATAAATTAGCATGTTTTAGCATGAATTATCCTAGCATGTTTAAGCAATTGTTAGCGTATATTAGCATGTTTCTAGCATGAATTATCCTAGCATATTTAAGCAATTGTTAGCATTAATTAGAATATTTCTAGTATGAATTATCCTAGCATATTTAAGCAGTTGTTAGCATTAATTAGCATGTTTCTAACATGAATTATCCTAGCATATTTAAGCAGTTGTTAGCATAAATTAGCATGTTTTTAGCATGATTTACCCTAGCATGTTTAAGCAATTGTAAGCATTAATTAGCATGTTTCTAGCATGAATTATCCTAGCATGTTTAAGCAATTGTTAGCGTAAATTAGCATGTTTCTAGCATGAATTATCCTAGCATATTTAAGCAATTGTTAGCATAAATTAGCATGTTTTAGCATAAATTATCTTTGCATGTTTAACCAATTGTTAGCATAAATTAACATGTTTCCAGCATGAATTATCCTAGCCTATTTAAGCAATTGTTAGCAGAAATTAGCATGTTTTAGCATGAATTATCCTAGCATGTTTAAGCAATTGTTAACGTAAATTAGCATGTTTCTAGCATGAATTATCCTAGGATATTTAAGCAATTGTTAGCATTAATTAGCATGTTTCTAGCATGAATTATCCTAGCATATTTAAGCAATTGTTAGCATAAATTAGCATGTTTTTAGCATGAATTACCCTAGCATGTTTAAGAAATTGTTAGCATAAATTAGTATGTTTCTAGCATAAATTATCCTAGCATATTTTAGCAATGGTTAGCATAAATTTGCATATTTTTGCATGAATTATCCTTGCATAGTTAATCAATTGTTAGCATAAATTAGCATGTTTCTAGAATGAATTATTCTAGCATATTTAAGCAATTGTTAGCATAAATTAGCATGTTTTTAGCATGGTATATCATTGCATATTTGAGCAATTGTTTGCATAAATAAGTATGGTTTTAGCATGAATTATCCTAGCTTATTTAATAAATTGTTAGCAAAAAAGTGTATGTATCTAGCATGAATTATCCTATCATATTAAAGCAATTGTTAGCATAAATTAGCATGTTTCTAGCATGAATTATTCTAGCATATTTAAGCAATTGTTAGCATGAATTAGCATGTGTTTAGCATGAATTATCCTTGCATGTTTAAGCATTTGTTAGCGTAGATTAGCATGTTTCTAACATTAATTATCCTTGCATATTTAAGTAATTGTTAGCATAATTAAGCATGTTGTTTGCATGTTTTTAGCATGTTTAACAATTTGACTGAAGGAATAACATGTTGTCAGCAATATTTCTGCGTGTTTACCATTATTTTAGCATAGGTTTTAGTAATTGTTGGCATAAAAATGCATGTTGTTTACATGTTTCTGCTTGTACTGATTAGCATGTTGTTAGCATGTTTTAATGTGAATAACTTATTTTTGTTTTTGCTAGCATTAATTAGCATGTTGTTTGCATGGTTTTTAGAGTGTTTAACAATTTGATTGCTCAAACTAACATGTTGGTAATGCTTCAGCATTTTTCATATTATACTAGCATGAGTTAGCATGTTTGCTAACATGTTTCTAAATTAAATTTTTACGAGTTATGAATTTAAAGGGGCTGCGCGATGGCGCAGTGAGGAGCATGCTCGCCTCAATACAAAAAGGTCGCTGGGTCGAGCCTCGGCTGGGTCAGTTGGCTTTTTTTGTGTGGAGTTTGCATGTTTCCTCCGGGTGCTCCAGTATCACCCATAAGTTCAAAGACGTGGTACTGGTCAATTGGGTAGGCTAAAATTGTCCGTAGTGTATGTGTGTGAATGAGTGTGTATGGATGTTTCTTACTGATGGGTTGCAGTTGGAAGGGCATCCACTGTGTAAAACATATGCTGGATAAGTTGGCGGTTCATTCCGCAGTGGGGACCTCAGGTTAATAAAGGGACTATGCTGAAAAGAAAATGAATGAATTAAATGTCAAACCCGCTTGCCATATCTCCGTCTGCAGCTGCCGTGGGGTTGGGATTACTCCAGCTCCTCTAATCTGACTGAACTCAAGCTGCTGCTGGAGGAGTCTCTGATGCTCCGACGCCTCAAATCAGAGGTGCTTTCACAGCTGCCTGCCAAACAGAGGAAAGTGGTCACTGTAACCACAGACGGCATCAACTCCAGGACCAAAGCAGCCCTCAATGCCGCGGCCAGAGAGCTCGCCAAAGGATACCACAACGTCAGTGCAAACACTTAGAAAAGTGCTAGGGCTGAAGAATATGTAAAAGAAAAAAATCATTATTGCCACAACAGTATATGCATCTATTAGTGTATGCAATATCTATAAGTATATGCGCTATATACAATATCTATTAGTATATGCAATAATATATGCAATATCTACTAGTATGTGCAATAGTATATATGCAATATCTATTTGGTTATGCAATATCTATTAGTATATGCAATATTATATACAATATCTATTAGTATATGCAGTAATATATACAATCTTATATACAATATCTATTAGTATATGCAATATTATAAGCAATATCTATTTGTATATTCAGTGATATATGCAATGTCTACTGGTATTTGCAATAGTATATGCAATATTATATACAATACCTACTAGTATATGAAATAATATATGCAATATCTAGTATGTGCAATATTACATACAATATTAGTATATGCAATAATAAATACAATATCTATTAGTATGTGCAATAGTATATGAAATATCTATTTGTATATGCCATATCTTTTAGTATATGCAATATTATGTGCTATATCTACTAGTATGTGTAATCGTATATGCAATATCTATTTGAATATGCAATATCTATTAGCGTATGCAATATTATATACGATGTCTATTAGTATATGCAATATTTTATACGATATCTATTAGTATATGCAATAATATATGCAATATCTACTAGTACATGAAATGATATACACAATATCTATTAATATATGCAATATTGTATACAATATCTACTAGTATGTGCAGTAGTATATGTAATATCTACTAGTATGTGAAATAATATATGCAATATCTACTCGTATGTGCAATATTACATACAATATCTATTAGTATATGCAATATTATATACGATATCTATTAGTATATGAAATATTTTATACGATATCTATTAGTATATGCAATAGTTTATACGATATGTATTAGAATATGCAATATCTACTAGTATGTACAACAGTATATGCAATATCTATTTGTATATGCAATATTATATACAATATCTACTAGTATATGAAATAATATATGCAATATCTACTAGTATATGAAATAATATATGCAATATCTATTAGTATATGCAATATTATATATGAAATCTATCAGTATATGCAATAACATATGCAATATCTACTAGTATGTGCAATAATATATGCAATATTTACTAGTACATGAAATTATATATACAATATCTATTAATATATGCAATATTGTATACAATATCTACTAGTATGTGAAATAATATATGCAATATCTACTCGTATGTGCAATAATATATGCAATATCTACTCGTATGTGCAATATTATATACGATGTCTATTAGTATATGCAATATTTTATACGATATCTATTAGTATATACAATATCTATTCGTATATGCAATATATATTTGTATATGAAATATTAAATGCAATATCTATTAGTATATGCAATATTATATGCAATATCTATTAGCGTATGCAATATTATATACGATGTCTATTAGTATATGCAATATTTTATACGATATCTATTAGTATATGCAATAATATATGCAATATCTACTAGTACATGAAATGATATACACAATATCTATTAATATATGCAATATTGTATACAATATCTACTAGTATGTGCAGTAGTATATGTAATATCTACTAGTATTTGAAATAATATATGCAATATCTACTCGTATGTGCAATATTACATACAATATCTATTAGTATATGCAATATTATATACGATATCTATTAGTATATGCAATATTTTATACGATATCTATTAGTATATGCAATAGTATATACGATATGTATTAGAATATGCAATATCTACTAGTATGTACAGCAGTATATGCAATATCTATTTGTATATGCAATATTATATGCAATATCTACTAGTATATGAAATAATATATGCAATATCTATTAGTATATGCAATATTATATATGAAATCTATTAGTATATGCAATAATATATGCACTATCTACTAGTACATGAAATGATATACACAATATCTATTAAAATATGCAATATTGTATGCAATATCTACTAGTATGTGCAGTAGTATATGTAATATCTACTAGTATTTGAAATAATATATGCAATATCTACTCGTATGTGCAATATTATGTACAATATCTATTAGTATGTGCAATATCTATTCGTATATGCAATATCTATTTGTATATGCAATATTAAATGCAATATCTATTAGTATATGCAATATTATATGCAATATCTATTAGTATATGCAATATATATTTGAATATGCAATATTAATTGCAATATCTATTAGTATACGCAATATTATTTACGATATCTATTAGTATATGTAATAATATATGCAATATCTACTAGTATGTGCAGTAGTATATGCAATATCTACTAGTATGTGCAATATTAAATACAATATCTATTAGTATGTGCAATAGTATATGCAATATCTATTTGTATATGCAATATCTTTTAGAATATGCATTAGTATGTGCAATATCTATTAGTATATGCAATAATACATGCAATATCTTTTAGTATATGCATTAGTATGTGCTATATCTATTTGTATATGCAATATTATATTTGAGCATTTATATATAAAGAAATAACCTCATAAATAGATTTTATTAATAGGGTTCACACTCATTCTGTGCTTTAAACCTACTTGAAAACTAAAGAGATTGGTGATAATCACTGTGACCCCGGATTAATGAAGGGACTAAGCTGAAAAGAAAATGAAGAAATGAAGAAATGTTTGCAAAATATATAAAAAAAAAATATATCATTATAACCATTTTTTACTGAAGAAAAAAAATCTAAACTTAGTCATTTACTTTGTTTTTATCAAATGTTGTGTACAGCAAGAGTTACTAATAGCTTAAATAAATGGGGATGGATGGGTTTGGGATTAATAAACAATGACAGAATTTGTGTTTAATGAGCTTTTCTGTGTTTATGTGCAGAAATCCCAGGAGAAAGAAGCACTCCTGGTTTTCTTCAACCACACAGCAGAGGCCAAGATCAGAGCTATCATGTATGTCTGTCCATTATGAGCACAAAGCAAACATCACAGCTTCATGGAGTTCCACAAAAACATACATTCATTTATTATGGTGACTCCTAAATTTCATTAGTTAAATCAGTGTGCTGAAGCATGCTATAAACAACTGGAGAGCAGCAGGAACACTTTAAAACATTAGTGACATGGTAATTCATGTTTAGATTATGTTAAAACATGCCAGACTTGTATACTAGCATGCTGCAGTCTTACAACATATTTTAGAAGTATATCGGTGGTAGTAAACGCAGTTTTTGATGTGTTTTTCAGGGAGTATATCTCAGACATGTTGGAGTGCGGACGAGAGAAGTTTCTGGTGTTTGCTCATCATAAACTGGTGCTGGACAGTATAACCAAAGAACTTGGGGAGAAGGTACAGTTTATTTTTTTTATTTATGTATTTATTTCATTATCTTTTTGTGTTTTTGAGTTTTTACTTCATTTATTTTTATTTAAAAATATGTTCTATTTTATTTTTTACAATGAATTGAGACTAATGATAAATCTGGAATAGTCAAATTTGATAACGTAGTAACCACCAACCATTTACCCAGAACACCTTACCAACCAAATCATTCAGAGACCATTCAGAAACCACCTAACTGTTGCCAAAAAACCACAGAGACCACCAATTGCAGCAGACACAATGATTTTACATAAAATCTAAAAATCTACCTTGTATTATTATATGATATTATTGTTTCCCAGTGAAGGGTTGCAGCTGGAAGAGCATCCGCTCCATAAAACATATGCTGGATAAGTTGGCGGTTCATTACACTGTTATGGCCTCTGATTCTCAAAGGGACTGAGCCGAAAAGAAAATGAATGAATGATATTATTGTTTCCCAGTGATGGGTTGCAGCTGAAAGGGCATCCGCTGCATAAAACATATGCTTGATAAGTTTGCAGTTCATTCCGCTGTGGCAATTCCCAGATTAATAAAGGGACTGAGCCGAAAAGAAAATTAATAAATTAATGATATCATTGAAACTGAAAACCTTTAACCATTGCCTTCCATACTGTCTATTTCCCTACAATGTAAGTCAGTGGTTACAGGTTTTCAGCCTTCTTCAAAATATCTGCTTTTGTGTTTAATGGTAGAAAGACACTCATAAAGGTTTGGAACAAGTAAAGGCCTAGTAAATGATAACAGAATTTTAAATTTCTGGGTGAATTCTCCCTTTTTATTGGGAAAATTATTGAAACTTTTTAGTGAGAGGCTAATGGTCTAATCTGATTCAATTATTTATGCTGAGCTAAGCTAAAAGTGTTCCTGTCAGATCCGGATATCATCTGAATGGTTTCAAAAATGCTAAAAATCAACTCTTAACACAGGGCCTGTAAAATGAGCCTATTTACAAAATAAGTGCAGTTTTCATTTTAGTAAAGTGTGATATACAGTAGATGTGTGTGGTGTGTGTGTATTAAAGGGATGGTTCATCAAAAAAATGAAAATGTACTCATTAATCACTCACCTTCAAGTGGTTTCAAGCCTTCATGAGTTTCTTTTTTCTGTTAAACACCAACGAATATATTTTAAAGAAAGCTGAAAACCTGTAACCATTGACTTGCATAGTAAAAAAAAAACATATAAAAGTCAATGGTTACAGGTTTACAACATTTTTCTAAATATCTGCAAATTAGCAAAATTGTTTATGATAAGCTAAGCTAAAAATGTTCCCGTCAGATCCGGATATCATCTGAATGGTTTGAAAAATGCTAAAATCAACTCTAACACAGGGACTGTAAAATGAGCCTATTTACAAAATAAGTGGAGTGTTCATTTCAATATAGTGTGATATAGATGTGTGTTGTTTGTGTCTATTAAAAGGATAGTTTATCCAAAAATGAGAATTTACTCATTATCCACTCACCCTCAAGTGGTTTCAAACATTCATGAGTTTCTTTATTCTGATAAACACAAAAGAATAAATTTTAAAGAAAGCTGAAAACCTGTAACCATTGACTTGCATAGTAGAAAAGCAATATGAAAGTCAGTGGTTACAGGTTTACAACATTTTTCTAAATATCTGCTTTTGTGTTTAACAGTAGAAAGACACTCATAAAGATTTGGAACAAGTAAATGCCTAGTAAATGATGACAGAATTTTCATTTCTGGGTAAATTCTCCCTTTAAATAGGAAAATTATTCAAACCTTTGAGTGAAAGGCTAATGGTCTAATCTGATTCAATTATTTATGCTAAGCTAAGCTAAAAGTGTTCCCGTCAGATCCGGATATCATCTGAATGGTTTGAAAAATGCTAAAATCAACTCTAACACAGGGACTGTAAAATGAGCCTATTTACAAAATAAGTGGAGTGTTCATTTCAATATAGTGTGATATAGATGTGTGTTGTTTGTGTCTATTAAAAGGATAGTTCATCCAAAAATGAGAATTTACTCATTATCCACTCACCCTCAAGTGGTTTCAAACATTCATGAGTTTCTTTATTCTGATAAACACAAAAAAAAATACATTTAAAGAAAGCTGAAAACCTGTAACCACTGACTTGCATAGTAGAAAAACAATATGAAAGTCAATGGTTACAGGTTTACAACATTTTTGTAAATATCTGCTTTTGTGTTTTGGAATAAGTAAAGACCTAGTAAATGATGACAGAATTTTCATTTCTGGGTAAATTCTACCTTTAAATAGGAAAAATTGTTCAAACTTTTGAGTGAGAGGCTAATGGTCTAATCTGATTCAATTATTTATGCTAAGCTAAGCTAAAAGTGTTCCCGTCAGATCCGAATATCATCTGAATGGTTTGAAAATGGTAAAACACATCTGTTTAACTCTAGGAGAGCAGTAAAATTAGCCTTTTTCCAAACAAGTGTCTTTTAAGTAGAATGTATAGCTGATTGAGTTCCACACAATTCAGTCATGTTGTCGATTTACTTAACAAATTCTTGGTGGATTAAACATTTAAGTTGTCCCAAAATAATTACACCCCTTGTGTTGTTTTAGCTCATTTTAAATAAGTAGTTTGAACAGGTAGCAAAATAGTTGTTTAGGTGTATGGTAGGGCTGCACGATATTGGAAAAATGTTGTTTTGCTGCGTTATGTATTGCCATATAAATATAATTTCACCAGATGATTTGAATAGCTCTATTTGGAAAGATTTCATTTTTAGATCGACTGGACAGATCAAGTCTTTCTATGCTGTGCATCTGCATAAAATATAATAAATGACAAGCATATATAAATATGACAGAGCAAGAATAAAGAAATAAACAGTGCTGTATGGTTTTCTAGGGAGTCTAACAGTATTCAAAAATTCAACAATCAAGCTTAAAATAAGATCATTGTATGAATAATCTAAACAATATATGTATCATATCTTTATCTTTTAATATTAATCCTGCAATGTGACATTTGAGCATACACACATTGCGATATCGATGCTCAAATTATATATTGTTCAGCCCTAGTGTATGCTGTGTTGTTTGTGTGTTCAGAGCATCAGCTTCATCCGTATCGACGGCTCGACACCGTCAGCGGAGCGTCAGCTGCTGTGTGAGCGTTTCCAGGCGTCCCAGCAGAGCTGTGTGGCCGTTCTGTCCATCACCGCCGCTAACATGGGGCTCACACTGCACTCTGCAGCACTCGTGGTGTTCGCGGAGCTCTTTTGGAACCCTGGAGTGAGAAACGCACTCGCACTACACTACAGTCATCACAAACATTTACATATCAGATGTTAATGTGAAATCATGTGTTTACTTCAGATAGTTTCCAAATTAAAATCTGTTCTAATTTTTTTTTTTTTTAAATTAGAATATGCAAAAAGGTACATAAATTGGGATCATACAAATACAAAGAAAATCAACAAAAAACAATAACAAAACAACAACAAAAAACAAAACAAAAACAATATAGTCAGGTACTGGGGTCCGTTCTTCATAGGTGGATTACTCAGTTAGCTGGATTTGACACGATCCAGGATCGTTTCGTTCTTTAAAGCTGATCTGAGAGTTGTTGTCATAGCAACAGTTCTGCTAGCTCAAACCTGATCGGGAGCAGGCTCAATTCACATAAACAGGATTAGATCGGCTCAGTTCAAGCAAAGATAATACAGAAAGCATGTTCCCAATTCTGATATTTTCTTACAGTTGTAGTTATATACACTTGGGAAAATGGTACATATTTTTTAACTATATATAAAGTTATAGTCATTAATAAAATAAATAAAGTTATACTTAATAATAAAACTTATGCAATCTGCACCCTTGAAATGAAAGTACAAAGACTGCCACCTGGTGGTGCAAAGAGAAAACTTATTTATATGAACTTTTTACATCGCTTTAATACAAATTGTGTATAATAGAAATGCAGAATATGTGACTTTTTCTTAAAGCAATAATACATTTATGCAGTCATAAACATGTTTTGATAGTTAATATGCCAGTGATTTGATGCTTCACAAAAGTTTCAGATGCCTTTAAAATATCAAAATGGTTTTGTAAACAACCAGTTATTCTTTACACCCATTAAAAAAACGGCTACTATAATAAAGAAAATCTGCTCTAAATGTTGAACTAAATACATTGATTTGCATTGAAATAAATGATGAATACACTTGACACATGAAAGTGTAAAGCCTGCAGCTTACAACAAATGTGGAAGGTTATTGCGTGTCATATTTAACAAATGGTTTACTGCTAATTTGATGTAATTTTGCTCACATGGATAATTGAATATTAATCAGATGATGTCATTACGCTGCTGTGCCGTCAGCCAATCGTTGCATTGCTGATCATGATTTCGAGGATCGATAGATCAGTCCTTCACAACACAAGCAGCGATCTCAGATCAGTTTATCCAGACATTCTAATCTGCTTCGCGAACTTGTTTGAAGAACCAAATTAGCGAGAGATCAGTTATCAAGATTAAAAGATCCAGGATCTGCCAAAACATCTTAGATCATTTAAGCGAGGTTTAAGCACCCTGGTAGGTGTGTGTGTGCGTGCGTGCATGCGTGTAAAGGTAACTTGGTGGACAGGTCAGAATACATACATAAGGAATAATAACAGTCAATAAATGAAGCAAGTATCGCAGATATAAGTAAACCAGATTGAAAGACACCAGTCAGTGGTAGGGAGAAACAACAATGCTTAGTAATGTATGATAGTAATAAAGACAGTAAAAAGAAAGAGGACAACAGTAATAATAACTGACAATGATAATAATTCACAAGTACTACACCAAATACTACTACAGAAAGTTACTTATATTACAACAACTACTGCTGCTACTACAGCCACAACCACGACTATTACTACTACAATGTCTACTAATACTGATACTACTACAACAATGACTACCACTACTGATACTACTACAGCGTCTGCTACAACTAATACAACAACGTCTACTACTGCTACTACCGCAATCACTGCTACTACAACATCTACATCAACAACATCTACAGTACTACTGATACTACAACACTAACAACGACTACTACTGCTACAACGTCACCTTTACTACTTCTGCTACCACTATACCAACGACATCAACTAGTACAGGAACTACTACTTCAATAATCACAATTACAATCGATACTACTACAACGACTACTACTACTACTACAAGTACAACTACTACAACTACTGCAACCTTCATAATGATAATGGTATTAATACTTATAATAAAGATAATGAAAGATAACAGGAGGACAGGTCAGATCTGTTCTCATTTTTGAGATGTGCAATTTTGTTCGATGCGTGACGTAATTTGTACTGAAACATGAAGACATGGGATATAAACAGTGTCCACGGGGTCTTAAAAATGTCTTTCATAAATCCATTTAGAGACATTATCTTAAATGGTGTTTTACGAGGTAGTCAGTTTTGTATCAGCATGCAAAAGTTTGCCTAAATTTAATCTATAAATATGGGGTGGGATGGTATGTGGTTTATGAATTCGATAAAATCCTGCTAGATTTGACATCACTTAGCTCGGAGTGACAAACCTGCAAGCTTTGGATTTTTGTATCTTCTACATGTAAAATTAGTCGCTTTTTTGATTCACACTAGCTTTGTAGATATCCTTGTTCCTGTTCTGCTTATTAGCAGAATAATGAGAGAGATATGTTTTAAGAAATTGTTATAACTTTTCTTGAAAGTCAAGTTTCCATACAATAAGACTATTCTGCCTCTAAAAGCTCAGATGATGACGTCAAGGTTTTGGAAGTTTCTGATTGGCTAATTGACAACATTTGAGTTAATTAGAGGCACAACTGTAGAACAGTATTTAAGGAGAAGCTCAAACACACTGCTGCCTTGTGTGACAACATGGGAAAATCAACAAGCCAGAATCAACAACAAAGCCAGATTACAATTAGCTAAATTACACTGGGAAAAGACTAATATTGGAGACATGTCCTGTGCTCTGATGGAACTAAGATTGAACTGTTTGGCCATAATGACCAGTGTTACATTTGGAGGGCAAAGGGGAAAGCGCACAAGCCTAGAAACACCATCCCAACTGTGAAGTATGGGGGCGGCAGCATCATGTTGTGTGGCTGTTTTGCTGCAGGAGGGACTGGTCCACTTCACAGCATAGATGGCATCATGAAGAAAGAACATTATGGAGAAATACTGAAGCAACATCTCAAGACATCAGCCAGGAAATTTAAACTTGGCCACAAATGGGTCTTCCAAACAGACCATGAGCCTAAGCATACTGCCAAATTAGTTCAAATGTGCTTTAAGGACAACAGAGTGAATGTTTTGGAGTGGCCATCACAAAGCCCTGACGTCAATCCTATAGAAAATTAGTGGGCGGAGTTGAAAAAGCTTGTGCGAGCAAGACAGCCAACAAATCTGACTCAGTTACAGCAATTCTGTCAGGAGGAATGGGCCAAAATTACTGCCAACTATTGTGAGAAGCTTGTGGAAGGATCCCCAAAACATTTGACCAAAGTTATAAAGTTTAAAAGCAAAGCTGAAAAAATATGAAGGAAATGTGTGTAAACTTTTAATGTCTAGAAATTAGAAAATTCTCAAAACTAAAAATTCTCTCATTATTCTGGCATTTAGCAAATGTAAATGATTTAGGTAATCCTAACAGACCTAAAATAGTACATTTTTAGTATGATTTACCATCAGACATTTTTAAAAATGGGTATGTTACTTTTTAGAGTGCATGTAAACTTCTGGTTTCATATAAATATATAAATTCTGGTGATCTCAAATCTGAAAAATCACCCACAGCTTTATGTATTTACCTAAAATAAAACATTGTATTACCTGTAATGTAATAAAAATGTATGGGGAAATATGGGGAAATGACATTTAAAGTCATGGGAGTTCACTCATCATCATGTTTGCGAAACATGACTGTAGATGGATTTTCTTTTTTATTGTAATTTATTAATCTTCTTAATTCAAATGTTTTACTACTTTTCATCACAGTTTAGATAATTTTACCGTACGACTGTATTACTTTTTTATTTTACAATTTGTTCCTTCAGAAGTTAATTATATTGTTTTTTTTATATTTATTTTAAATCACTTCATATATATATTTGAAGCATAGAATGTGACGAGCATAATTTCAGCACAATCAAAAGTGTGTGTTAGTTCTGCTGCTACTACACTAGTGAGCTGTGCTGGTTTCCTTCAGGTCTTGATTCAGGCTGAGGATCGGGTTCACAGAATCGGTCAGACCAGTAATGTGGACATTCATTACCTGGTGGCCAAAGGCACAGCGGACGATTACCTGTGGTGAGGAGATTACACACACACACACACACACACACACAAACTCGCAGAGTCTCTTGTTTTCCTCAGACTTGCAAAAGCTGCCAGAGGAACATCAAATAATTTCATTTTATTTAGTTTTTAAATGGTTATTATGATACATTAGATGTCACATTATACAGTGGATTTCTAAAAAAGTTAAAAGTAATAATTAAAGTATAATATGTGTAATAAGTGTTTTCATTTAGCTCAGATTATTTTTGCATTAAACATGTAGTGATACCATGGATGTCAAATCAGTTTAAAATGGTTACAATAGTTTCACAGTTCAGTTCAAAATATTTACATATAGATCATTTGACTCTAAATGATGTCAAATTTCCAGAATATTAAGTATTTATATCAAATGATGTTTGCAATTAATTTTAAATAGTTACAACAGTTTCAGATTTTGTTTAAAATAAATGTGTATGAAGCTTAGAATGTCAAATTATAGAATTACAATATCAACTATTCATAATTATCAAAATTAAGATGATTTAAAATTGTTTTATTACTGTATATATGTATATATACATATCTATCTATCTATCTATCTATCTATCTATCTATCTATCTATCTATCATCTATATGTATGTATATATTTATGTTCATATATATGTATGTGTATGTATTTATATATATATATATATATATATGTGTATGTGTATGTATATATGTATGTACATATATATGTATGTGTATGTATTTATATAGATATATGTGTGTATGTATATATGTATGTACAAATATATGTATGTGTATGTATTTATATATATATATGTGTATGTATATATGTATGTACAAATATATGTATGTGTATGTATTTATATATATATATGTGTATGTATATATGTATGTACAAATATATGTATGTGTATGTATTTATATATGTATGTGTATGTATTTATATATATATATGTATTTATATATATATATATATATATTTATATATATATATATATATATATATATATATATATATATATATATATATATATATATATATATATATATATTAGGGATGCACGATATATCGGATGCTATTTTTAAGATTATCGTTATCAATACGATGTCTAAAATAGGCCGATATCTTTAAGCCAATAAATAACGTAATTGTTGCCGCGCACGCATGGGCGGAACATGTTCAGACTTGTTCATGGATCTCTCCACACACTGATTATTCCTTCAAAGTCTGTCATTTCTTCACGTGGTATTGCTGTGCTTCAATAACTCAGTAAGTAACCATGCTCCTTATCATTGTAGACATGTTTGATTGAGTGCCATTGTGTATTTTGCTTCATATCGCCTCAGGAAAAAATATTACATATGAAAGCCTTTCCTGCTCTGTCTATTTATTGTGTTAGAGATAGCAGGGAGATTTACTTATTACTCCAGGGCCGAGTAATATTAGTTTCGGGGTGAACTCTTTTAGTTGCAGCCGGGGAATGAACGAGGACCCGTGTAACTTGGTCTCATTGCGAAAAAAACGCTCCTTTTTTCTGTCTCTCCCTCTTCGCTTCACACACACACATTCACACACACCAAACTGACAGCATACGTGACGCGCTAAACAAAAACTTTACAGAAGGTTTTTAATCTAATATAATTGTTTGTTATTATCAAGGCGTTGGTTCCCATGTGTTGTTGATGTAAGATTGTAGTCAGTTTGATCGGAATATTCATATGGATTATAACAAGCGTGAGTGCACACACACACACACACACACACACACACATAGATCTGACAGCCTTTACACACACATAGATCTTGAGCCTTCACAGATCAACAGGGGAGAGCCTGGGTGCACCCGTCACTGAATCCAGCATACGGGCCACACGTTCTGTCTTTATATTCTGCTCTTTGTCATAAAGTCATCTGATCAGGTTTGTATCAAAATCTGAGGGCAAATCTGCGCCCTCACAGCGGTTTGTCATAAACTTTTCATCGATCATTTTCCCCGCGATTGACAGCAAGAACGAACACAGAAGCGTTGATGCTAAGTGTTCAAAATAATCTAAAACGCCAAATAGGATGAATTTTTGTCGCATTTTCTAAAATAATACATTCTGTATCTAGCTTTTCACTTGTACGGTGGCTCTGAACTGTCAAAACACCTCTAAAAAAGGCTTTTTCGGACAAGACATATTTGTACACATGTACATTACTGTAACACGCTTTATTCAAGAACATTTGAGCTGGTTTTAGTCCTTAGCTCTTTCATTTTCATTTTGTTTAAAATATATTTAACTTGCTTGTTAATTAAATCCCATTTTGTTATTTAACCTTTTTAATTTTATGCAAGAGTCAATTTGCATGTTAATTTGCTATGAAGAAAAGCAAATAATGTATTTTTTGCATGCTGCTTTGTGGGAAATCGTGAATATAGGTCTATAATCACCTTGCAATTTTTAAACCATAGCTTTTTTGCTTTGAGTATAGGCTGTTCAGTTTAAAAGAGCGGAGTTTCAGCTTTTATGAAGTTTGCTGTATAAAAATAAAACATTTTGAATTATTTATAATTATCGGCCTATATATATCAGCTATCAGCCTCCAAGTCTGAAGAGTTATCGGTATCGGCCAAAAAAATCCATATCGGTGCATCCCTAATATATATATATAAAAGATAAAATAAATCAGTTAATAGAGTAATAGAAATGAGTTATTAAAACTATTATGATTAGAAATGTGTTAAGGAAATCTTTTATTTATATATATATATATATATATATATATATATATATATATATATATATATATATATATATATATATAAAATTATATATATATATATACACACCACACATATTACTATTATTTTTGAAGCTCATTATAGTTAGGTTCCTTAAATTGGTGTTTTTCTTATTAATTATTTAACTGTATTATTTGTCATGTTGTCATGTTTAACTGTTCCCTTATGTTTCTCAGGCCGATGATACAAGCCAAAATGAATGTTCTGGAACAGGTCGGCTTGTCCGAATCCAACATTTCAGAAAATGCAGAATCTGCCAGCTTCCACAGCAGGGTATGTATCAAATTAATGTCTTACGTCTTTACAATTACATGACATGCAAATGTGTTTCCATTGTAGTTCATGCACATTTTTTTGGATTGGATATTGGAATTTAATTGCATCTTCAGCTTTTCTGTGCATCTTGGCATTTCCGTTGTGTTTATTGCAAAATGTGCATAAAAATAGGTGGACAGATAGTTGTGTTCAACCAGCTAAAAACAATGTTTAATTATAACTACAGTCTGCAGAAACACTTTGATTGACATTCTCCCTTTGTAAGTGTCATTAGAGGGGGAAAGCCCCGCCCATTATTGACTATCTCTCCCTCATTAGCATAAACAGCCCTGTGAGAAGTGAGAAGCAGCCGTCCGTCGTTACCCATTAGAGCAGTGGTCAGCAAACTTGTTCCTGGAGGGTCGGTGTCCTGCAGATTTTAGCTCCAACCCTAATCAAACACATCTGAACAAGCTAATCAAGGTCTTACTTGGTATACTTGAAATATCCAGGCAGGTGCGTTGAGGCAAGTTGGAGCTAAACCCTGCAGGGACACCGGCCCTGCTGGACCGAGATTGGTGACCCCTGCATTAGAGTGTTTGAGCTGCTGAAGATAATATCAGCATAGACTAGGAGGATTATAGATGTGGAGTTTTAGATGAACCACAAATGAACAGCGGCAGGAGTCTCTATAGACTGACGCATTCTGACACACACACATTTTCAGTTTTTCACACAGATAATGTTAGTCTTGTTTCGAATCTGCCACTATCCTGACGTACAGCCATCTGTAGCTCCACCCTCTATTTAAAAAAGCACAGTCTCATTTGAATTTAAAGAGATCTAATTTACCTCTTGAATAAAGAGCATAATGGGTCTCCTTTAAAGATGTTGTGTGCTCTTTCAGGATCGTCAGCAGCTCACCATCACTGAGATGTTCCAGAGGTCTTTCGATGAGGACGAGATGCTCGCTTTGATGGATCAGGACCCGTAAGAATGACTGTAAATTACTGTGTATGATAACAATGCTTTATGGAAAACACTCGACTGCTTACTGCACTTGTTCTGGTCAAATGCCTCACATTTGTAAGGGATGAAATCAGTAAATAAAGCCTCAAAATCATTCAAATGAAACTGTTGTCAGCTTGAGCCAAGCAAATCAGCCTCACACCAGGAGTTTAATGTATAAAAACAGACAAAAGTGTTTTGTTTTTTTTCAAGTAAATGATTGATGATAGACTGAAGACGAAGAGTTTAATCTCCTGCTGACTATTGAGGTGCTTCATGTCATCTTCACACTGCTGGAGAACAACAGAAAAACGTCATATTAACAGATCTGACAAGGCAAAACCACAGACAAATCTTCATTATGAACAAAAAGAAAGGTTTAAAGGAAACCACACATTTCACTATTAGTGGTGTAACGAATCACAAATCTCATGGTTCGGATCGCATTATTAAGGTTTTTTTTCTTCACTCGCCTCTGAGTTTTTTTTTCCCTCTCCGCTGTCGCCTCTAGCTTGCATGGTTTGGGATCTGTAGAGCTACCCATCGTTAAATTTGCTCTTCAGTGTTCGGACTCTCAGTAGTGATTTTAAACCACACTGACCTGAGCTAAACTGAGCTGAACTTAAACACTAAAAACTGAACTACCCTGATCCAATCACTATGACCATTTATGTGAAGCTGCTTTGACACAATCTACATTGTAAAAGCGCTATACAAATAAAGCTGAGTTGAATTGAATTGCATTTTAGTCATGGATCAAACCATTTTTCAGATCAGCCAAAAAAAGGGAGGAGACAAATGTCAATTGCTTTCCATTTCTTACAAAAACAGCACCTTGACTCTTTTAGTTTTAACAAACAGAACTTATAAGCTGTAATTTTGTTACAAATAAAATTAATAAACAATCAGCTGAATAAAAATAAACTGTCAAATATTCAGTGCTGTGAAAAATTCACTGTTATAACTATTGTTGCTGATAAAATATATTATAACCATTTCTACAACCCATACCTATCTATAGTCTCATTTTCAATAAATGATTCAGTTTCCACTCATAAAACTTAATGTTTCACTGCTTGATGATCATTGTTGAAGAATTATTCAGTGGCATATTTCTGATGCTGGTTGTCGTCACCTATTGATGAAATAATGTAATTGCTGCCTACAACTTTCATTTTAAAGCATTAAAGGTGCAGTAGGTGATTGTCTCCAGAAGCATTTTTCGTTGAGCTGGTTGAAAGTCTCTTCACAATCTAATAGTAATGATTAAAGTAAATGATCTGAATGTGTTTATATGTATTTTTATATTCTGGGTAAGGCATAAAACTAAAAAATTTTCATCCAATTAAATAAAGTCGGGCCGACATCTGTCATAACTCCGATAAGTAGCCCAATCTGTCTGTCAGCAAATGCAGATTTGAACAACTGCGCAGCCTTTTGTACGCAGCTCCGCCGACCGCCGAGCGTTCACGAGAGAGAGCACGTGCGTGATCGGTAAAAACCTGCTGAATCAAAACTTTTTAAAAACCTGAATCAATATTGGAGTTAGTTTTGTACGCTGGAGAAAGGATGACACCATGTCTGAAGGATTTCTCTTAGTAATGTTCTGTTTTAAAACTGTTTTAGCCTCACGCAAAGCTGATGTAACGTTAGATGTTGTTGTCACAAATGGGTTATATCTGCACAGAAGATTGATAAGACGATTGTAAGTTTCATAAGAGACCTTTTACAGCATCGATAATGTAGATTTTAATTAGTTTAACAACAAAACACAAGTAAATACTGCTGTTCCGCTTAGTCTCTCCCTATATTGTTTACCATGCAACTCTAATATTTACTCTGAAATCGCATGTCAGTTTTGGTTGCACGCCACCAGACAAGCACTAGTCTCTTCCAACACATGAGAGAGGGTTCTTATGCCGTGCACGTGTTTCAGGAGGCGTGGCTCTAGACGGCAGGGGAGGGACTGTGATTCAGAAGCTGCGTCCCAAATGGCACACTATACACTATGCACTCATGCACTATGTACTTATGCACTTACACACTCACTCAACAGGATAGTATATGTATGTAGTGTCGTCCCAAATGGCACACTAATGTTTTTTTTACTAAGCGGAAATTCAAACCGTTTCCCTGATGACGTTTGACGGTTGCCAAATCATTGAAGTAAACGGCCGAATTATCAAATAATACCTGCCGTGAGTATTGCCGCAATCACCATCGGGAGGCGCTATAATCACTCTCATAAAAGAATTTTGCTTTCACCATCCAAATTAAATAAATTTATTCAACATGTGCGTCCGATAGCTCCGCCCCTTCCGCTACGTAAGCAAACCTGCGGTCGTTGAGTGCGTGAAGTGTCCAACATTACACACTTCATTTTAGCGGCTGAATGAGTGCATCATCCGGGTAATTAAAGTGCACTTATTAATTTTAGAGTTTTCAGTGTGAACACACTACTTACACTATTTATACTACAAAATGGCGTAGAATAGTGCATAAGTATGTGATTTGGGACGCAGCTCTCGATTTATGCTAAGCAGTTAGCATTGTGGAAGATCACCTACTGCACCTTTAAGTTAAAACCATATGATGGTGATTTTAATCTTTACCATAAACATCAGTGGTTATATCTAAACCATCAACTGTTCTCCCAGTACTTCTGGGTTATTTGACTATTTGTAATTTTATAACTCACTCAAAAGACTAAAGACTGAGTCTCTTTCTTAATTTTTGCGTTTTTCAAACACAGATTATAATTTAAATTCGATTTGAAGCAATATAAACATGCAAATCAGCATCATTTATAATCCATGTTGTGTGGGTGTTCAGAACTTGTTTTTTTAATGATTAACCGTGCAGCTTACACTGAATGCATTAATGCAGGCTAAACAAGTAGTGACAGAAAACACCTTTAATAACCTAAGAAACCCACCACATCCCCAATAACCCACCACAACTTCTTCCATCATCCTTATATTTTACAGGAAAGCCTAAATGCTTTAATTCATGTGATTTAAATTATGAAAGAGGCGATCTCTTTGCGATCATTACAAATTTAGGATTAATCTTCAAGTAAAAAATAAAATGTGCTGGATAAGTTGGCGGTTCATTCCACTGTGGTGACCCCAAATTAATAAAGGGACTAAGCTGAAAATTAAATGAATGAATGAATGTCAAGTGTTTGACAATCTGACTCGACTGTACTAATGAATAGTAGTTTGTTAAGTTTTGATAGTTTTTTAAAGTTTTCGTTTTTAAAAAACATGTTTAATTGTATACATGGTCTTGCTCCTAAAGTAGTCTGTGAGTTAATAAATAAATTCAGTAGTGATGGGGCGAAGACTAGAGGGGCAGTAAGTGGGAATTGTAGAATCCGCAGATGCAGAACCGCTGTGGGTCAGTCATCCTTTTCAGTAAAAGGTTCACATCTATGGAATGCCATGCCTGTTCATTTAAAGTTACAATCAGAACTCCCAGTTTTTTCTGTAAAGCTGAAAGAATGGTTGAAATCTTTACAGCAATGTGAACATTAAGCATTATTCTTTCAGGTTGGTCCCATTTACATTTCTCTTTATCCATATGGATTGCATCTTATGTTTATGGCTCTGTAAATATTGTACATGTTTGCTGTATTGTGTTTTATTCTTGCCGGTTTATTATTATTATTATTATTATTATTATTTATTTATTTGTTTTTTTTTAATGTAAAGCCTAACCAGGGACGAGAGCTGCAAATTAGCTTTATGCTATATACCCTATGTACACAACATCGGTTATCTTTGTATAACAATGTCAAGTTTATTGTCCCTGTAAAATAAACAAGCAAATAAAAAATAAAAAATAGTAACACAGATTTTCATCTATGACAAAAGACAAAGACAAACATTTAGTGAAATATGTACAGTAACGCACTAAGACATACAAGTTCTGATTAATCATTCACATTGGGATACAACTGCCAACAGCAACATATTTCTTTGTATATATTTATCGATTGAGGGGCATTTTGTGTACATTACCAATATATAATGTAACGTATATTGTCTATATTAAATGTTTTGATGTAAAAGTAATAATCATCTTATCTCACCTTGTTTGACAGATGACTGTGCAGCTTTCACAAACTGGGCGATTCTCCTGAAACACAGAAGACAAACATTTAGTGAAATATGTACAGTAAAAGCTGAAATAAACTTTATTTATCATTTCTGTTTATAGCTTGTGACTTTGTGTGATTGAATGTTTCTCATGAATGTTTGTCTAAAACAGGGATCACCAAACTTGTTCCTGGAGGGCCGGTGTCCTGCAGATTTTAGCTCCAACCCTAATCAAACACACCTGAACAAGCTAATCAAGGTTTTACTAGGTATACCTGAAACATCCAGGCAGGTGTGTTGAGGTAAGTTGGAGCTAAACCCTGCAGGGAAACCGGCCCTCCAGGACTAGGATTGGTGACCCCTGGTCTAAAAGATGACTGATTCTTAAAGGTGCTGTATGTAAGTGTTTGACACTAAAGCACAAAAACACCATAATATGTTTGCAGACATTTGAGAAACATGCTGAGTGAACATTCTTGTTTATCTGGAAAACAGTGCTGAAGTCAGATATTCTGCTTTGAACATGTGCGTTACATGCCGGAATGGCTGTCTTTGTTTTGGTTCTTTTTTTTTTTTTTTTAATTCTTTGTTTATTAACTTTGATGAACATACAAACGTAAACAAAAAAGGGCAAAGACAAATGTATCAGTAGACAAGTATAGCAGCAAAAGGCAAATAGAGAATTTTTTTTATTTAAATAATAATAATAATAATAAAGAAATAAATAAACATACAAACAAAATACAAAAAAAAAAAAAAACAATACACAGAGTTATGCCGTGGTTAAGGTCACACATATTGTGAAAATACATCAGATGTGTTCATAGAGATTATTAGAGGCATCCATATTTTTTGAAAGGCATCCTCTTTGTTTTTTAAGTAGTATGTATATTGTTCCAAGAGCATTGTTTCATTCAAGAGTTTTATGAACAGTTCAAATGTTGGAGGTTTTTGTTGGTTCCAGTTGAGCAAAATGCTTTTTTTTTTGCTAGATAGGAGATGATGCCGAGTCTCTTTATAGAAATAGGATCAAATGACTTGTTCAGTTCTGTACCAAAGAGGTATACATTTACATTTAGCAGACGCTTTTATCCAAAGCGACTTACAAATGAGGACAAGGAAGCAATTTACACAACTAAGAGCAACAATGAATAAGTGCTATAGGCAAGTTTCAGGTCTGTAAAGTCTAAGAAGGGAAGTATTAGTATATATATATATATATATATATATATATATATATATATATATATATATATATATTTTTTTTTTTTTTTTTTTTTTGGGTACAGTTAGTGTGATATTCAGAGAGGCAATTGCAGATTAGGAAGTGAATTGGAGACTAAATAGTTGAGTTTTTAGTCGTTTCTTGAAAGTAGCGAGTGACTCTGCTGTTCTGATGCAGTTAGGGAGTTCATTCCATATAGTGTTGGTGTGTTGTCCAATGGAACTTGCAAAGCTTTGGCTGTAAAGTCCTGTATGTTTTGGTTCTTTTAAGCCACCCACTGCCAGTTTAGCCAATTATACTTCAGCACCTGGGTTGCCTTGGTGGGAAAAAAAGCGTATTTGATTCATTCATTCATTCAGAAAGGCTCTCAAAGTGGGTATTCACGACCTAAATGCGACCTTCAGTGGACAGTGGCAGACTCTGAAACGAGGCGCAGATTCAGAGTTCCACATAAGGTTATTAATTAGCAAATATTATAAATATTACAAATGTAAACATTAGCTGAGCAGGTTACATTGTAACCCCGTGTCCTAACAACACTATAGGTGACGAGATTTGCTGTGATAAGCAGTTTGGCTGTTTAAACCAGATAAAACACGACAGAAATGTAAATACAGCCATTCAGAAGCACAGAATATGCACTCGCTGCACTCCAGTAAAATGTTTATAATCTAATCAATACATGATAAACCTTAACATTATTAAATGTAGATGCTGAATCACTAGCTATGTTTCCATCCAAAAATGCGAATAAACTTTATGCGCAAAACTGGATTATCGCATAAAAGTTGTGTGAATGAAGCAGCGTTTCCATCCAACGAGTCAAAGCGAACAAAATCGTCACTTCCTGATTAACTGGCGGCAAATATCAACAGTAAAAACTGCATTTGCTGCAGTAGGAGAAGCTGCATCAATCTTTTTTCTAAATGAATGCGCCTCAGAAGACAATCCTGACAAGCAGTGAGCGCGCGGTGGCGTTTGAAGGCGTCAGAGGCGGAGCACAGGCGCTCTTGATTCTGGAGGTCATTAATAATATAATAACATTAATACTGAAATGGTAAGGTGTTTTATAATGACCAAAACAACATTTCAGATGTTTTATAATGTGCTCAGCCTGACGTTTTGTCCATTCACACACATTTTAAGCATCACATGATCTCTTTTAACAAAATCACATGACCTTTTTTAATGCGCATGCTGGAGTTTGTGCGGTAAAAGTGTTTCCATCGCAGTTTTGTTCCATCTAATCGAATAAAAAGTTTATCCTACCCAGTTAGGCGCATACGTTTTTTTATGCGCATTTTCAAAATGTATGCGCATCATGGCGTTTCCATCAACTGTTTTTTTTTTTATGTGCATTTGCAAAATGCGCATAAACTAGGTGGATGGAAACATAGCTACTGATATGTTTGGCAACCTGTGTTTGCATGTTTTGAACAAGGCGTGCAATCCCTAGTTCAACCATTGGGTGTCAAACTTACATACTGCACCTTTAAGACAGGCGTAATAACGGACTACAGAACTGAAATTAGTAAATAAGTAAATGTTAACGCACTAAGACATACAAGTTCTGATTAATCATTCACATTGGGATACAAATGCCAACAGCAACATATTTCTTTGTATATATTTATCGATTGAGGGACATTTTGTGTACATTACCAATATATAATGTAACGTATATTGTCTATATTAAATGTTGTGCACACTCGCTGGCCATTTTATTAGGGACAGCTGTCCAACTGCTCATTAACGCAAATTTCTAATCAGCCAGTCACATGGCAGCAACTCAATGCATGAGCATCAGAAAGGGAAAGAAAGTTGATATAAGTAACTTTGAACGTGGCATGGTTGTTGCTGCCAGACGGCTTGGTCTGAGTATTTCAGAAACTGCTGATCTACTGGGATTTTCACGCACAACCATCTCTAGGGTTTACAGGGTTTACTGACCATGTCCATCCCTTTATGACCACAGTGTACTCATCTTCTCATGGCTACTTTCAGCAGGATAACACACCATGTCATAAAGCGTGAATCATCTCAGACTGGTTTCTTGAACATGACAATGAGTTCACTGTACTTAAATGGCCTCCACAGTCAGCAGAGCTCAATCCAATAGAGCATTTTTGGGATGTGGTGGAACGGGAAATTCACATCATGGATGTGCAGCCGACAAATCTGCAGCAACTGCGTGATGCTATCAAGTCAATATGGAGCAAAATCTCAGAGGAATATTTCCAGTATCTTGTTGAATCTATGCCATGAAAGATTAAGGCAGATATGAAGGCAAAAGGGGGTCCAACCCGGTACTAGTAAACTAGTACTCTGCCAGTGAGAGTATCAAATGAACAGCAAAATGAGAAGAAACAGGCAGGCAATGTCAGATATCAGAAAGCATTTGATTGATCAGAAGATTGGATGAGAAACTGAGGTATGAGGTGACATCAAATAAATAATTTCATCATCATCATTTATATCTGTTTATATTTTCTAATGTTGTCACTGTTTTGGAGCACACTAGCTAATAGATATCCTTAAAACTAACGGAGTGATACTAATATATTTATATGCTAATTTCATTAACATTTGAATGAGAGACCTGTGTCCGGCTGGCTGGATTCCGGCGTCTCGAGGGCTTCAGTCTGGTCTGTAGATGCTGCGTGACTCTCTGTCATCTCGAGGTTCATTTCTTCAGCACCATCTGCATAATGGAGATTAGCAGTAAGTTATGTTTTTGTGTTTGCACAGTTACCAAGTTAATTAATCACTACTGTATTTAAAAATGCAGTAGATGATCTGCCTAAATGCTATCTGTTAGCATAATATCTTTAAAACACAATCCCTGCCGTCTAAAGTCACATCTCCTGATATCAGGCATCTTAAAGATGACGGTAGACAGCCCACTAGATCATGTCAGTCGCCAGTTAGAAAACTTTATATTACTTTATAATGCTACAATTTCCAACAATAGACTGTATTATATCTACGTTTCAGTTGTGTAGCAATCAGAACTTGTCATGATGTGCAATATTAAATGCAAGAATGGATCGCTGGTCATTTGGTAAACCCTAAAATAAAGAGCATTTCATCTCAGATCACCATACTCTTAATGTTTACTCACTTCTTTATTTGTTTAATATTTGAATATGCAATGATATCTCAAAGTGATGTGTATAAATAAACCCTCAGTGATGAACCTGTAGTGTCCGGCTCGGTCTCGTTCCTCAAGTCACCGAATGAAGGAGATCTTGAAGATTGTAGATTTTTGAGCTCTGCAAAACTCTCCTCTGTTTCTGTAGACAGCAGGACGTTCATTGTTAGACATTAGTGTTAAATACGAGTCATTTTCAATCAAATAAACCAGGCTTATTTAAATCAAGAATACACTGATGACAAATTTAAAGCCTAGAAATATGGATTTATTGTCTAATAAATAACTGATAAATAATTTGCCGGCAGCTAGCTCTCTGCAACTCTGGCACCTGAAGCTAGGTTGCTGTTGGAAGTACTGTTAGTGAGGCCAGCAGGGGGTGCTCAACTTATGGTCTGTGTGGGTCCTGACGCCCCAGTATAGTGATGGGGACTCTATACTGCTCAGTAAATACTGCTCTTTCGGATGAGACGTTAAACCGAGGTCCCGACTCTCTATGGTCATTAAAAATCCCAGGATGTCCTTCAAAAAAGAGAAGGGATTTAACCCAAGCATCCATACATTTTAACTCTCCCGTTTTTTCCTGGGATTCTCTCGTATTTTACTGTTCTATCCCGCTACCATCCCGCAAAAGGTGTTTTCCCATATTTCTCCCGTATTTTCAGTCTTTCTCTGAACAGCCGAGCCTTCCTATACGCAACCCATACCGCCGAACCACCTGGGGTCGCCCCTTGCTCTAAAACATGAGTCTTCTGTGCTTTTGCTTTGTTTAGGAATGAAAACACTTATGAATAAATATTAAAATGGTGCGATTCAACTTCCTTTTGATTACAGGTGCCGTCGCCCATCCTATACAATCCTCAAAACAGTCATATAATGGTGCATGACTGTCAGCTGACGCGCTCCATAGTGATAAACAGACGCTGTTTCCCAAACGGATTCTATACCCGCGATTTGAAGCGGAGAGAAAGTCTGGCTTTTGGGTGCGGGTTTAAACAGACATACACACATAATTAATAATAATAACATAAAAGGATGTCGATCTTGGTGGGTTTTTCCCCCCAAACACAGCTAATTTCATCTTAAATGAGCATAAAAAGTTAGAAAAGCAGTCGAATGTTTTCATTATAATGTTAGATGTGTGCATTTTTAAAGTGACACCTCTTATTTAATGTAAATTAAAAAAAATCTTAATAAATGAGAGATTCATTCGTTGCTCTTTAATCAGAATTTGTAAGTTATACAATGGAGAAACGGCAAATGCTTGATTCTATTTCAATATAATAGCTATTAATTTTAATAAGCTGAACTGTTTGCTAATGTATTTGCTGCTAATGTAAATATTTATTTTTCTTTTGTTAATAATAATAATTTTAAAACATATTACCGACCGATTAACTGTTTATTTACAATGAAACAGCTCCAAATGAACATACAACGGGTGGGGGGGGGTGTTAGGGGAATCCCTTATTATGGTGGGCATATCCCTTATTTTCACATCCCAATGTTGACATGTATGGGCATCCTGACCCAATTTGCCCACTGGCCTGTCCATCATGGCCTCCTAACCATCCCCATATCATAACTGGCTTCATCACTCTGTCTCCTCTCCACCAATCAGCTGGTGTGTGGTGTGGGGTCTGGTGCAATATGGCTGCCATCATGTCATCCAGGTGGATGCTGCACACTGGTGGTGGATCAGGAGATTCCCCCCAATGTGTAAAGCGCTTTGAATGCCCAAAAATGCGCTATGTAATTGTAAGGAATTATTAATTGAGATAATTATAATTGCCGGTACTTCGGATCATTTTGGAAGGGCACTTTCTATCCAAGACTAAACAGGGCATGTGCACTGCACGGGTTGAGCCCTATGTGTGCACGTGCCTGTTTGACTAGATATTCTTCAAGACACTAGTATTCAGCTTTGTGACATTTAAAGGCTTAACTAGGATAATTTGGCAAGTTAGGGTAAGTCATTGTATAACAGTGGTTTGTTTTGTAGACAATCTAAAACAAATGTTGCTAAGGGGGCTAATAATATTGACCTTAAATTGGCTTTAAAACATTAGGAACTGCTTTTTTCCTAGCCGAAATAAAACAAAAAAGGCTTTCTTCAGAAGAAAATAATAATTTAGAAAATACTGTGAAAAATTCCTGAATCATTTGGGAAATACTTGGAATAAAAATCACTAATAAATCTAATTTCACACAATATTTATGTATTGTTTGAGTGTTCTCCGCACCTAGCGGTGGTGACGCAGTGTCAGGGATGATCTCACCGATGTCTCCAAAGATGAACTTGATCTTCTGGTCTGCGTGTTCTGTGTTTGAGGAGCCGTGGACGGCGTTTTCTAGCACGTCTTTAGCGAATCGAGCTCTCAGTGACTCGGGAGCTGTCAGTCGGGCCTGGTCGGGGTCTGTGGGGCCCATGGCGGCTCTCCACTCCTGCACTGCGTTCTCCTTCGTCAGAACTAGCATCGTACACGGCCCACTATACAGAAATCATCATAAGAAGCATAATAATGCGCTGCTGCATTTTACTCAATGGTGCGTGCTACATATACAGTTGAGGGCAAAATGATTAGCCATCCTGTGAAATATTTAAAGTGATATTCAATGGAGCAAGGCAATTTACACAGTATTTACTATAATAATTTTTTCCTCTGGAGAAAGTCTTATTTGTTTTATTTCGACAAGAATAAAAGCAGTTTTTAAAACATTTTAAGCTCTATATCATTAGCCCCCTTAGACTATATTTTTTTCGATTGTCTACCGAACAAACCACTGTTATACAATGACTTGCCTAATTACTCTAACCTGCCTAATTAACCTAGTTAAGCCTTTAAATGTCACTTTAAGCTGAATACTAGTATCTTGAATATTATCAAGTCAAATATTATGTGCTGTCACCATTCATTCATTCATTTTCTTTTCGGCTTAGTCCCTTTATTAATCCGGGGTCGCCACAGTGGAATGAACCGCCAACTTATCCAGCACGTTTTTACGCAGCGGATGTCCTTCCAGCCGCAACACATCTCTGGGAAACATTCACACACATTCATTCACACTCATACACTACGGACAATTTAGCCTACCCAATTCACCTATAGCGCATGTCGTTGGACTGTGGGGGAAACCGGAGTACCCGGAGGAATCCCACGCGAACGCAGGGAGAACATGCAAACTCCACACAGAAACGCCAACTGACCCAGCCGAGGCTCAAACTAGCGATCTTCTTGCTGTGATGCTACAGCACTACTTCCTGCGTTAACTGCTGTTATCATGACAAATATAAAAGAAATCCGTTATTAGAAATTAGTTATTTAAATTATTATGTTTAGAAATGTGTTGAAAAAATCTTCCCCCATTTAAACAGAAATTGGGGGAAAATATACAGGAGGGATAATAATTCAGGCTTCAACTGTACTCCTAGGTTACCTTGAGTAAATCAATGGGCAAATTCAGATTTTTGGGTGAACTAATCCTTTAACACTTGTTTTCAGAGGAGTACTCACCGGCACATGTAATCCACCAGCTGGCTGAAGAAGGGTTTCTCGCGATGCTCTTTATAAAACTCCTCTGCCATCTCTCTGGACAGAATCGTGTCTTTCAGTTGGGAAATGGTAAATCCTTGAGCCTGAATCTCCTCCAGGATCTCCTCTGAGCAGATACACACAAGGTCAACAGCGAGTTCCAGTGTTTATCCTTTGGGTTTATTCTTGAACTACCTTTTCAAAACTTGGGGTTTGAACATTTTAACCCCTTAACTATCCCCATCCATCCATCCCAATCCATCCATCCATCCCAGTCCATCTGTCTCAATCCATCCATCCATTCCCATTTATCAATCTTTCTCAATCCATTAATCCCAATTCATCCATCCATCCCAGTCCATGGATCCATCCATCTTAATCCATCCATCCATTCCCATTCATCAGTCTATCCCAATCCATCCATCCCAATTCATCCATCCATCTATCTATCCATCCCGATCCATCCTAATCCATCCACCCATCCCAGTCCATCCATCCATCCCAATCCATCCATTCCCATTCATCAATCCATTCCATCCATCTATTCATCCCAATTCATCAATCCATTCATACCAACCCATCCATCCATCCCAATTCATCCATCCATCTATCCATCCCAAACCTTCCTAATCTGTCCATCCATCCATCCATCCATCCCAATCCATCCGTTCATTCCCATTTATCAATCCATCCATCCACCCCATTCATCCATCTATTCTTCTCGATTCATCCATCAATTCCAATCCATCCATCCATCCATCCCAATTCATCCATCCATCCATCTATCTCAGTCTATCCATCCATCCTTCCCAATCTATCCATCCAAATCCATCCATCTATCCCAACCCATCCATCCCAATCCAACCATCCATATATCCAACCCATGCATCCCAATCTATCTATCCATCCCAATCCATTCATCCCAATCCATGCATTCCAATCCATCCATCCATCTCAATTTATCCATCCATCCCAACCCATCCCAAGCCATCTATCACAATCAATCTATCCATCCCAACCCAATCATCCCAATTTATCCATCCATCCCAACCAATTCATTCATCCATCCATCCATCCATCCCATTTCATCCATTCCAATCCATCCCAATCCAATATTTCCCAAATTATATTTAACAGAGCAAGAAGTTTTCCACAGTATTTCCTATAATATATTTTCTTCTGGAGAAAGTCTGATTAGCTTTATTTTGGCTAGAATAATAGCAGTCAAGGAAAACATTTTAAGGTCAATAATATTAGCCCCCTTAGGGGCCAATCACACCGAACTCGTTTTTTGCACTGAGGCGCCTTTTTTGAATGGTTTACTGACGGCTGTGAGCGTTTTGTGCGCTGGTTATGCGGTTTGCGTGTTTTACCACCTGCTGCGCCTCACGTTTTTGCCCTTGCGCGATGTGCGCTTGCAGTTGAAATAAAGTCAACTCTAAGCGGAAAAAGCGCATTACATCACTCGCAACTTCATTCTCCAATCAAAGGAAAGCAGAGAGAGGGTTTCTGCAGTGTTTATGTTGTCAAGACAACAACAGAGACTTTTAGAGATGGAGGAGAGACTTGTGGTTTTGAGTTATCCAGAGCTGTATGACTTGACGTATCTTGAATATCACAATATTATTAAATATTAAAATTATATTAACATCAACAGCATCACTCACACAATACCCAGTTGATTCAGTCGTTGCCTAGCAACATAAAAAAATGCCCGGCGCTTCTTTTTTTTATTGTCAACAAAAAAAAAGGCAGTGGGTGCGCCTCGCGTTTTTGGAACGTAAATGCGCATTCGGTGTGATCGGCCCCTAAAGCAATACTTGTTTTGTGTTTCGATTGTCTACACTGTGTTCAGTGTTAGTGCTGATGATACCCTTGTGTTGGGTGTCCGGTTTAATGACAGCGAGTGTGTCTTCAGGAGGGAAGAAGAAGCTGATCTCCTTCTCTGCCTCCTCTGAGCTGCTGCTGCCGTGGAGCTGGTTAATACTAGAGTTTTCAACCGAGAACTGGGCTCGCAAACTAGATCACAACCACACACACACACACACACACACTGTATGATCAATAACACACACGATAAACAATCACACATTGAGTTAATGCTTTTATAATACAATCAAAATCTGTAGACTGTTTTGTCATTCTGAGTCCAAAGAATTGCTGTTTTATAAATGCTGATACTATTATAATTACCATTGTGTATGAAATGTGCTGTACCAATAATAATAATAAAACATTTTTACATATATTTTCAGGGTCAAACAGATCTGAACACATTATGGGGTTAAGCAGAAACATTCAGATGAAGGTAAAAGTCATTAAATGAAACTGTTATTGATATTGTTTTACCTGTCCGGTTGCTCATTTTTAGCCTTGATGGGGTCTTTGGGTCCTAGGATGTTCCTCCAGTGCTCCACGGCTCCTTCTTTTACTAAAGCTAATGCTAACACCAGCCCACTGTCAACCACACACAGTTCATGTAAAAAGTATAAATATAAACTGTATTTACTGGATATTTATTAAATCCCCAAATCAGAAAAACATGGCACAGTTTGGAAAACACAAATAAAAAAAAATAAATTCCAAATTTACTTTAACTTGTATTTGATTGCATACAATATCAACACAAAATATTTAATGTTTTGTTTGGTCAACTTCATTTCATTTGTGAATATACACCCTTTCTTTTCATTCAGACCTGCAACACACTCCATAAAAAGTTGTGACAGGAGCAGTTTAGGGAATTTATCAGGTAAATTGGTTCAATAATGATGTGATTTGACACAGGTGATGTCAACAGGTGATTGTAGTTATGATTCCATCCCAATTCATCCATCCATCTCAACCCATCCCAATCCATCCAACCATATATCCCAACCCATGCATCCTAGTCCATCCATCCCAATCTATCCATCCATCCCCCTCAATCTATCCATCCTAACCTATCCATCCCAATTTATCTATCCATCCATTCATCCATCTCAACCCATTCCAATCCATCCAACCATATATCCCAACCCATGTATCCTAATCCATGCATACCAATCTATCCATCCATCCCCCTCAATCTATCCATCCTAACCCATCCATCCCAATTTATCCATCCATCCATTCATCCATTTCAACCCATTCCAATCCATCCAACCATATATCCCAACCCATGCATCCTAATCCATGCATACCAATCTATCCATCCATCCCCCTCAATCTATCCATCCTAACCCATCCATCCCAATTTATCCATCCATCTCAACTCATCCCAATCCATCCAACCATATATCCCAACCCATGCATCCTAATCCATCCATCCCAATCTATCCATCCATCCCCCTCAATCTATCCATCCTAACCCATCCATCCCAATTTATCCATCCATCCATTCATCCATCTCAACCCATTCCAATCCATCCAACCATATATCCCAACCCATGCATCTTAATCCATGCATACCAATCTATCCATCCATCCCCCTTAATCTATCCATCCCAATCCATCTATCCATCCCAATCCATCCATCCCAATTTATCCATCCATTCCAACCCGTCCATCCCAATCCAAGTATCCCAGTTCATCTATCCATCCATGTTTGTGTTTGTGTGTGTGTGTATTTGTTGGTGTGTTTGTGTTATTGTACGTATGCATGTTTGTATATATGTTGTTTGTTGTTGAGAGTGTGCATGTGTGTGTTGTTGACCTGGTCATGTTCTCCATCAGGCTGTTGAAGTATTCCTCCTCCACATGAGTGCTGTAGAAGAGTCGCACCTGCTCCTCCGTCAGCATCAGCTCTTTCTGCATGGCCACTCTGAAACCAGCTTGACGGATGCGGCTCAGGATTTCCTCTAAAACACATTCACAGAGCATAAGTCTTCATATTTCATTACCGTTTTCTCATAGTTAAAGTTTCAGACACTGCAGAACCAGAGGAAATCGTCAAAAATACAAATGAATTGGTAAATCAATTCATCCATCCATCTCCAATCCATCCATCAATCTCCCATCCATACATCCCTGTACAATCAATCAATCAATCCATGCATCAATCTCCCATTCATACCAGAGGTCGCGTTAGACTTGAAAAAGTCCGTCATAACCTATTATAGACCGTCAATTAATTTGCATATTTTCTAATCGCTTTTTTCATTCATATTTTAATAATGAACTTGCACGAAGAGCATATAGGCTAAATTATTTATTTATTTATTCCTCCTGCACCGACCTTAACCCAGGTGCTAGCCTGTGTGTAATCAAACGCATCAAGAGAAACCGATGCAGAGGCAGTTGTCATTAAATTCTGTGTCTTTGCCTCGGAAAGTCGACTTCTCGTGGCAGTTTTAAATTTGTTCTGGAGGCTGAAGCCGCATTCTGCTGCCACACTGGAGAGCCCTTGCCAGAAGCGGCCCGGACTCTACAGACAGACTCAGGCCAGATATGGTTAACAGGAATCGGGCCAGTGCTTTACAGCCGCATCACAAACGCATGTGCGGGAGCGAGCTGCGGGCCCAATCAATCTCCCATCTATCCATCTCCAATCAATCCATCAATCAATCAATCTCACATTCATCCATCATCTCCAATCAATCTCCACTCCATCCATCTATCAATCTATCATCCATCAATCTCACATCCATCCATCATCTCCAATCAATCTCCCATCCATCCATCTATCAATCAATCCATCAATCAATCTCACATTCATCCATCATCTCCAATCAATCTCCCATCCATCCATCTATCAATCAATCCATCCATCAATCTCACATCCATCCATCATCTCCAATCAATCTCCCATCCATCCATCTATCAATCAATCCATCCATCCACCCATCTCCAATTCAATCCATCCATCTCACATCCATCCATCATCTCCAATCAATCTCTCATCCATCCATCTATCAATCAATCCATCCATCCACCCATCTCTAATCAATCAATCCATCCATCTCACATGCATCCATCTCACATCCATCCATCATCTCCAATCAATCTCCCATCCATCTATTAATCAATCCATCCATCAATCTACCATCCATCCATCCATCTCCAATCAATCAATCCATCCATCTCACATCCATCAATCAATATCCCATCTATCCATTCATCCTTCAATCTTACATCCATCCATCAATCTCTCATCCATCCATCAATCTCCAATCAATCCATCCTTCAATCTTACATCCATCCATCAATCTCTCATCCATCCATCAATCTCCAATCAATCCATCCATCAATCTTACATCCATCCATCAATCTCTCATCCATCCATCAATCTCCAATCAATCCATCCATCAATCTCTCATCCATCCACCAATCTCCAATCAATCCATCAATCTCCCATCCATCCATCAATCTCCAATCAATCCATCCATCTGTCCATCTCTAATCAATCCATCCATCTATCTCCCATCCATCCATTCAATTCATCCATCTCCAATCGATTCATCCATCCATCCATCCATCAATCTCTCATCCATCCATCCATCTCCAATCAGTTCATCCATCCATCAATCTCCAATCAATCCATACATCAATCCCCAATCCCCCAATCTCCAATCAAACCATCCATCCATCCATCCATCCATCCATCAATCTTTTATCCATCCATCCATCTCCAATCAATCAATCCATTAATCTCCCATCCATACATTCAATCCATCCATCTCCAATCAATTTATCTATTCATCCATCTCTAATTAATTTATCCAACCATCCATTCATCAACCTCCAATTCACTTTCCCCCCCTCCCTCCCTCTAACAATCTCCAATCAATCCATCCATCCATCCATCAATCTCAGATCAATCCATCCATCTATCAATCTCAGATCAATCAATCCTTCCATCAATCTCAGATCAATCCATCCATCCATCCCTCTCCATCTATTCATCCATCCATCCATCAATCCATCCATCCTTAAGGAGAAATTTGTCTTGCACAATCGAGGGAACAGAGAACATTTAGTGACAATATAAATGACTAAAACTTTAAAAAAAACATTCATTATAACTTGCACGATTTACAATTAACATGAACAAAACAACTTTTTATAGTGTTTATAGTGGCTTAATTAAAAAACAAAAGTAAAAAAATATGACTAAACACCACAATACCATAACAATAAAAATGCTAAATGAGAAAAGCATTGTTTTTTCAGTGTGATGTGATGGTGCTGGTGAATTCTGATCATCAATATCAGTAAACTCTGCTTGAGTGTAATGTGTGCAAACTTTCGGGCCTCAGTGAGAGTGCAGGAGGTGTAAAAGCGTAACGTTGGCACCTGCCTCTGTTTTCCCTGGCAGCGTCGGGCCGGACGAGCGCCAGCGTTCGCTCCACGGGCTCCTCTTCCGGCCTGGAGTCCCACACACTGAAGCTGAAGTTGGGGAAGAAGAAGGCCAGTTCCCTGCTGGCGCGCTCGCGGTCGGAGCTGCCGTGGAGGCCGTTCAGAAGGCTTTCAGAGCCGTACTGCGCCCGCAGGCTGAGGACAGACAGATGGAGAAACCGCGGGCTCTCAGGATGTGTTGAGCTAAAACTGATACTGATCAAAGCTGTGAGCGCAATATGGAGCGGCAGCGCAACTCCAACACATGAGCTTTACTGGAGGAATCATGTTAGGAACACTCTAGAGAATTACTCAGCGTCTGCACGGGAACATGTGTCGTTTACACTTCCCTATTAATGATGATCATCATTTGTTCAGGAAAAATATATACAGTTCAAGCCAGAATTATTAGCCCCCCCCTGTATGTTTTTCCCTCCAATTTCTCTTTAACGGAGAAAAGATTTTTAAACACATTTTTAAACATGATAGTTTTAATAACTCATTACTAATAAATGATTGTTGCCATGGTAACAGCGCATAATATTTGACTAAATATTTTAATAAGATACTAGTATTCAGCTTTAAGTGACATTGAAAGGCTTAACCAGGTTAATTAGATTAATTATGCGAGTTTGGTTAATTAGACAAATCATTGTATCTGAAAAAAAAAATAGCTTAATTATCATTGACCTTAAAATGTATTTTAAAAAATGTAAAACTTATATAAGTGTAGCGGATATAAAACAACATTTAGTCACCATTCAAATGTATGTATCGTTTACTAGATAAAATGTTCAGTGTAATATTTATATATATATATTTATTATTATAATTTATTGATGTATTCATTCATTCGTTCATTCAATTTTGTTTTGTTTATTCATTCCTCCATTTATAACTGTTTTTATAATTATTTGCATTAATTTATTCATTAATCGTGTTTTTTTTAATTATTTTATGTTCATTCATTCATTCATCATCATGTATTTACTGACTCCAGGTAATGCACTACCTCTCAGGCTGCTGTCTCTGGGCCTCCTCTCTGTTATTTTATTCACTCATTCATTAGTCACACACACTTAATCGGGCTGCTCTCTCTGGACGTCTTGTATATTATTTCACTCCTTTTATTTAATCATTCATTCATCATGTATTTACTGACTGAGTGTTTCTCAAGGTAATGCCATACCTCTCAGGGTACTCTCTCCGGGCATCCTGTAAATTTCCATCCTGTTTATCCAGGTACTGTAGTATTTCCTGGGCTGTTCTCTCTGGGCCTCTTTGATTGTTATTTAATTCTTTCATTCGTTATCTCATTCATCATGTATTTACTGACTAATTGTTTCTTCAGGTAGTGCACTACCTCTTGGGCTGCTCTCTCCAGGCCTACTCTATATTAATTCATTCATTTATTCACTCTTTCACCATGTATATTATTAACTGATTGCTTTTTCAGTTAATGCAGTACCTTTTGGCTGCTCGTTCCGTTCCTCCTCTCTGTTATTTTATTCATTCATTCCGTCATTAATTAATGTCTGATTTCTCCAGGTAATGTGATACCTTTTGGGCTGCTCTCTCTGGGCCTCCTCTATATTCATTCATTCATTCATTTGTTTACTGACTGATTGTTTCTCCTGGTAATGCACAACCTCTCGGGCTGCTCTCTCCAGGCCTTCTTAACATCCATCCATCCATCCATCCATCCATCCATCCATCCATCCATCAATCATCATGTATTTATTGATTGGTTGTTTCTCCAGGTAATTCCGCTACCTCTGCTCTCTCTGGGCCTACTCTATGTATCATTCATTCGTTAATCTGTTCTTTCATTTATTCATTCCAGTGTTTCCTCTAGGATTTTTTCCAGCTGTGGCGGCAGGCCTTTTTTACACAGATCTACCAACTACCTGTGGCATTATTTCAATGATAAATGTCGTGAGCGCAGTATTACCAGTCGAGATCGCATTTATGTAATAGCCTACAAGCATGCGAATCTCTTTGCTTGTGCACCGTTTTCCTCTAATCAAAAACTTCTTGCACACCCCCTCAAATTTATGCCGCTCAAGTGCAGATCTTCTTGTACGCTCTCACATAAACGCTGCTGAAGTGCGATTAAGCACGTTTATGTAACCAGTATGTCTACAACATTCATTCATTCATTCATTCATTCATTCATTCATTCTATCATTCATTCATTCATTCATTTACTCACTCATTCATTCATTCATTCATTTATTCATGTATTTATTGATTGGTTGTTTCTCCAGGTAATGCACTACCTCTGCTCTCACTGGGCCTTGTCTATATTATTCCATTCATTCGTTAATCTGTTTATTTATTCATTCATTCATTATGTATTTATTGACTGATTGTTTTTAGTTAATGCAGAAACTTTTGGTTGCTATTTCCATTCCTCCTCTCTGTTATTTCATTAATTCATTCCATCATTCATTTACTGATTAATTGTTTCTACAGGTAATGTGGTACCTTTTGAGCTACTCTCTCTGGGCCTCCTTTTCATTCATTCATTCACTCACTCATTCATTCGTTCATTCATTCATCATCATCATCTATTTATTGATTGGTTGTTTCTCCAGCTAATGTGATACCTCTGCTCTCTCTGGGCTTCCTCTATATTATTTCATTCATTCGTTAATCTGTTCATTCATTAATTCATTCATTCATTCATTCATTCATTCATTCATCTATCATCATGTGTTTACTGACTGATTGTGTCTCCTGGTAATGCACTACCTGTCAGTCTGTTTTCTCCAAGCCTCTTTAACATTCATTCATTCATTTATTCATTCATTCATCCATCCATCCATCCATTCATTGTTTTTCCAGATAATGTGGTACCTCTGCTTTCTCTGGGCCTCCTCTATATTATTTCATTCATTTGTTAATCTGTTCATTCATTCATTCATCTATCATCATGTGTTTACTGACTGATTGTTTCTCCTGGTAATGCACTACCCGTCAGTCTGTTTTCTCCAAGCCTCTTTAACATTCATTCATTCATTCATCCATCCATCCATCCATTCATTGTTTTTCCAGATAATGTGGTACCTCTGCTTTCTCTGGGCCTCCTCTATATTATTTCATTCATTTGTTAATCTGTTCATTCATTCATTCATTCATTCATTCATTCATTCATTCATTTCATTCATTCATTCATTTATGTATTTATTGATTGGTTGTTTTTCCAGGTAATGTGATAACTCTGCTCTCACTGGGCCTCCTCTATATTATTTAATTCATTTGTTAATATGTTCATTCATTCATTCATTTATTTATGTATTTATTGACTAATTGTTTCTCCAGGTAATGCGATACCTTTCAGGCTGCTCTCTCCGGGCCTCCTCCACATCAGCAGGGCCGATGAATTCTCTCCAGGCCGGAATGACGTCCTCACAGCCCTCTGTCTTGGAGATGACCAGGACATGCGATGGGCCGCTCGACATAAACTGGACGAGCTCCTGAAAGTACGGCTGCAGTAACACACAAACACGCACGCTGGAGCTCTGCCATTCCTCTCCATCAGCAAAAACACAGGCTATTTTTAGAGGATTCCTTCATTTACCTCCGCGGCTTTGTGTTGATAGAAGTCCTGAGCTTCTGCTTCAGTCAGCGTTCGCTCCTCATGCGCCAAAATCACAAAACCGGCATCCTGAATCTATGAGAAAAAAAGCACACAGTGTATTCATTTTACCTGTGAAGTAGAGCTGCAAGTGTTTCTATACCGCTGAAGACAAAATCCAAGTGCTGTTTAATGGAGAGAGGGTTTTTTCAACACATTATTTTTAATAACTAATTTCTTTTGTCTTCGAAATGTTGGGCAGTACATAATATTTTACTGGTTATTCTGCAAGTATATGCTAGTATTCAGCAATTTAAAAGGCTTAACTAGGTTAATTACAGTGCATCCGGAAAGTGTTCATAGCGCTTCACTCCTTCCGAATTTTTTTATGTCACAGCCTTATCCCAAAATGGATTAAGATCATTTATTTCCTCAACATTCTACACACAATACCCCATTGTCATGTTCACCAGCGACGTAACTACCATAGATCGCTGATAAACATTCAAATCCACATGAACTACAAATCCGCCATGTTATGGACTACAGATCCAGTCATGCAACACACTCACCTGCACTCACTCTGACTCAACTGTCACTCACACCTGAAGCTGCTTTTGGACTAATAACTGCACTTTAAATACAGCACACTAAAGGCTGATTTATACTTCTGCATTAAGCGCACACATATGCTATGGCGCGGCCTATGCGTTGACGCATAGCCCTCACCGTGACCATCGGCGTTGCTGACGCGCTCCCCTTTAAAAATGTAACTATACGTCGCAATGACGCGTAGTGCAAGCTCTATGATTGGTCAGTTTGGTAGCCCTGATGAGTGTGGGTGGGACCGAGAGCTGCGCGAGCCCAATGGAGCGATTGTTTACAAGTGTGGAGTCCCATTAAGGAGCTCCGGATGGAAAGTTTTGTTTTGTGTTTACCTCATGGTTAAAGTTGTTGCATGTTTGCCAGTTCCTGCCTCTAAATGAGCGAGTTTGAGCCACTTGTACATTCGGGAAGCGTTCAGAAAAAAAAACACCAGCAAAGAAACTCGAAACAGAGGAACATCAACACCTCACTGCCAACTAGCATTTCGGAAGTGTTATTGCAAAGCAACAGAGGCAGCGCGCAGAAGTATAAATGCACAGCTACGCGTGTTGCATGTGCCCTACGTTACGCCAATCACTTGACGCAGAAGTATAAACCAGGCTTAACACACAGTTGCTGCTTAGTCTTCTGTTACAATGGTGTGACGCTGACAACAGGGGTGTGGATCCAAATGCAGGTTAATTTACCAGAATGGTCAGGCAAGTAACACTAATCACAGGGGCAAACCAGTGGCGTAGCGGACGGGCCAGCAGGGCACGCACCGCGGGGGGGGCCCGCGTGATTAGGGGGCCCCACGTCGTCGCGATTTTCAATAATTGAAAATCCAGGAACTGCAATAATCAAACTCTTAGGAACAACTGTGGTCGGAACCAAAGTTCACAGGTTCTCTGAACTCCTCCCAAGCGGTGGACTACTTCATTCTGATTGCTTGCCGCCGAACCGCGTCATAGCCAATGAAGACGCGCCGCTGTTTCTCGCCGCCGGTTCTCTATAAAAAATGAATGACTTCTGGCTACTTTGACGCTCTCGCCACTTTCGGTTTGTGAACGCTCCTCAGTTTGTGAAGGATTCCCCACGTTGTCGCTCCACTCCGCCTCCTTTCCCCGCTCCTCAATTTGTGACATAGATATATACACTAGATATTGCATAGGGACCCTGAGCATGCGTCTATAGCGCCGCCCCATTGGTACAGTGCTCCCAGGACAAATGTCATTCAACAGCACTAGTCAAGACAGTTTTATTACGTGAAGATGCGGGACTTTAGCGCTGTCTACGATTGTAGTAACGAGCAAACAAAGAAAACAAAGCACAAAGGCAGAACATTTCATAGGTAAGATTAAGTTTTTCACGTTTTTGAATGTTCTGAAATTTGTGCTAATCAGGTCACGTTATTGATGATAATACAGTCACTTACTGCATTCACCATAAGGCAAAGCAGCTCCAATTCGCACTAAACACTCGGCTTATGCTAGTTTTGTTAAATAAAATCAGCAAACAACGCAAAAGAAATATGACAACGAGATGCTGCGCTGCCAGAAACTTGTATTATTGTCGGCTAGTGAAAGAGTCGTTCATTCACGAACGAATCGCTCCTCCGTCAGTATGAGAGGTGAAAGCAGGAGAGGAGCTGTGTTTCAGGACACGAATTAGATCAAATTTAACAGGGAGGGTGAATAGTACATTTCTGTACACACAAACACAAGCTTTTTGTCAGGAATGCCTGTGCGATCAGTGATCAATCAATATAGAAAAGTGATGTAAAATTATAATTTTCATAATTTAAAAAAAAAGACTAACATCCAGGAAAACTCCCGATCATATATATATGTGTATATATCTCTGGCTCTACCCCCCCCCCCCCCCCTTCAACTGGGGGCCCCGTCGGTGATTCCTGCAGGGAGGCCTGCGCATTTTGCGCTACGCCACTGGGGCAAACAGATATATAAAGGCAAATCCAGATTCAGAGTCAAAATAACAGGCGAGTGGTCAGGAGGCAGGCAGCACAGGGATAAACAATACAAACAAAACAAAGCAAGGGTCAAAACCGGCAAGACAAAGAAAGGAAAAACGCGTTGTAATGTCACGTAAACAGATAACACGTTTTCCTTGCTTTGTCTTGCCGGTTTTCAATCTAACTTTGTTTTGTTTGTATTGTTTGTCCCTTGGTATATGGTTTCATACATTATATTACAGATGAATTGTTCACCACTAAACTAACAATGTAAGTTTACAAAATCAATAGTTTGATTAGTTTTGATTTCATGTGGACTTTAAACTCCTTAAAGGCCTAAACACATGCAAATAATAAACATCCATCTATTATGGTTAAAGTTTGCAGTGACTCCACAAATCTCATGTGTTCTAAACTATTCCATATATCATGTAATGTAAATATTGTTGATGGACGCATTATGATGTTGATTTTGAAATGATACAGCTGAGGGCAAAATTATGAGCCCTCCTATGCAATATTTATTCTTTTTCAAATATTTCTTAAATGATATGTAGGGAATTTTTCACAGTATTACCTATAATATTTTTTCTTCTGGAGAAAGTCTTATTTGTTTTATTTTGGCTAGAATGAAAGCAGTTTTTACTTTTTCAACATGTGAACATTATTAGCCCCTTTAGCAATATTTGTTTTCGATTGCCTACCATATCGGTCAACCCTCCCTTTTTCCCGGGATTCTCCTGTATTTTACAGTTCTATCTTGCTATCATCCCATAAAGGTATTTTCCCGTATTTCTCCCGTATTCTTTCTCTGAAGGATGGCAATAAAGCGCCTAGCCTCCCTATACGCAACCTATACCAGACTCAGACTCAGCTTTATTATCCCGTTAGGGAAACTAAAATTGCAACATGGTGCCATAACACAGGCAAAGTTCCATGTACACATTATTAAAATATTACCACACAACATCCATACATCAATATGTAGATACATCCCCCTCCCCCCTGGACTCATTTAATGACCTAATGGCCACAATTCTAAAAGAATTTCTGGTTCTATTTGTCCTGCAAATAGAAACCTAAAACGACGTCCTGATGGCAACAACTGAAATACAGAAGTACAATGGGCGGTCCGGGGTGCATAGGATACCCTGAGCTCTCTTTAGAACATAATTATGGCAGATTACCATTGGACCAGTCTGGTTAAAACCAATGATCTTGCCTCCCACTTTCACCAGGCTGTTCAGCCTGTTCTTGCTTGACACACTCAGATTACCGTACCAAGCTTACAATGCAAAAAGATAAAACAGATTCAATAAATAGTTTATAAAACAGCGTCATCATACAGGTACAAACCTAAAATGGTCTAAGTTTCCTTGTCTTTCCTAAGTCTTTGTTGAACTTTTTCCCGTATTTTTGGTGGTTCCTGCACATGTCTCAAAAGAAAATGTCTCTATCATAATCTATGCAAAAGTTATTCTATTCTAAAGCCCCTGTCAGATCACATGATTTTTATTGTCGGTTATGAAAGTCACTATATCAGATCCTGCAATATTTTTTCTTGATAAAATCGTGACTTTTTTTCTCCCATTTTTAGATTTCTGATCAAGTCAGATTTGATAATGTGGCAAATCATCCGATTTTTATTGAGCAGGTGTAATATTTATAAATATTAATTATTCGAATTCTTGTACTCTCTAAGGTGCCGCTGTCATCATTAACCTGGACTGGTTTTGAAGCACTTTACCTCAGATGTTATTCTTGTTTATTTTGTAGATAACTGACCAACAAAAATATATTAAAATAAGCCTAATTATCAATGTTATATTTTCCTATTATATTAATTATAAATTATTGTAATTAATAATTTAAATTATTAAAATACAATGATGTGCTTTCATTTCCTTGGTCTCTCTCGCGACAATGAATGAATGTAGCCTTTGACAGCAAGCATCAGTGTTTTTAATGATTGAAATGAGAATAAGGGATGATGATGGGGCGGGTGGTGCTGGAGATGTGCATAACCTTGAATAAAATCCTGCTGGTGCCCCTGGAAGAAAGAACTCAGAATGGAGATGTCGGCATATTTGTGCCAGTTTGTCAGATAAAATTGCTTAAAACACATAATATTTTAGAGAAAGTAGTTAAGGTTTGCATAGCCAATGACTGGGTATATCCACCCGTGACCAACCCATCTGTAAATATGCAGCCTGTTTTCTGATCACCTGACCAGCTCATTAACAGCAGCACCCACTAAAATAACTGATAAATGATGTGCTCCTGTAGGGCCGTGTCACCCACGTGGTGGAACTCGTTGTAAAAAACGAGAAAAGATTAAACATGCTACACTTTCTGCGACCAGACCAGTTGTCGTGAACTATGGCACATTACAAGACAAGAAACGATTGAATCTTGTGTCACGACATCTATTTGTCAGTTACGAATCTCTACGACACCCTACGTCAAGAAAATCATGCCAAAATCGTGTGATCTGACTAATGCTTAACTGATGAGAGAATGGAACCACTTTTGGGGGTATTGGACCAGTACAGACCTTTAAAATTTAAAGAATGCAGAACCACATGCGTAAATGCGTAATGCGTAAACCACACTGTAAGAAAAAAAATCGTTAAAAAAAGGTCAAATGACTGGCAGCTACGGCTGCCAAACAAAAACCATAAAATTACGGTAAAATGTCTTTGTTGAAATAAAGTGCAAAAAATAATAAATCTACAGATATTTTAATTAAAATGTTTACAGAAAAACACTGTTATTTTACAGCCTTTTCCTAAATTATTACGATCAAATACGCTCAATAAAGGTATACACTAAGAGTTTTACAAAGAAACACTGTTATTATACAGACTTCTCCTAGATTATTATGATCAAACATCATCAATAAATCATTACGATTAAACCATAGACTGTAAAATATAGTTATAGTATATATAAGTTTTTTTTTTTTTACAGTGCATAGATATATACACTAGATATTGCATAGGGACCCTGAGCATGCGTCAATAGCGCCTCCATATTTGTACAGTGCTCACAGGACAAATGTCATTCAACCGCACTAGCCAAAACAGTGTTACTACGTGAAAATGCTGGACTTTAGCGCTGTCTACGGGTGTAGTAATGAGCAAACAAAGAAAACAAAGCACAGAGGCAGAACATTACATAGGTAAGGTTTAGTTTTTTACGTTTTTGTATGTTCTGAACTTTTGTGCTACACAGGTAACATTATTGATGATAATACAGTCACTTACTCAGGGTAGATAGTACATTTCCATACACTCAAACACAAGCTTTTTGTCAGAAATGCCTGTGTGACCACTTATCCATCAATGTAGAAAAGTGATGTAAAATATAATTTTCTTAATTTATAAAAATATTTTTATCATTCTGACCTCCGGGAAAACTCGGAGATATATGTGTATATGTGTATATCTCTGGCTCTCGATGGCCACAGTCCTTCACTGCAGCTTGGTCCCACATTCATTTTAAAGGAGCACTACCCTGTACTAAAGTGGCAGCTCTATTGACGCATTCCTTCCAATAGACAACAACAGGGTAGGCGACATCTAATGTATATATTCATGGAAGTAAACGACTTCATGGAGTTGGTACCAGGTACGCAGAGTTTAAAGGCCTAGTTAAGCCTTTAAATGTCACTTTAAGCTGAATACTAGTATCTTGAAGAATATCTAGTCAAATATTATGTACTATCATCATGGCAAAGTTAAAATAAATCAGTTATTAGAGATGAGTTATTAAAACTATTATGTTAAGACAGTGGTTCTTAAACTGTGGTATGTGTACCACTAGTGGGACGCGGGCTTCCTTCTAGTGGTACGCGGAGGAATGAAATGTCATGTACATGCTATATATATTACAAAATATATAAAAAATTATGTATATCATATGCCATATATGACATATAGCCTATATTTCTGAGGTAATCTGCCACGTTTGTTTAACTGTGCAGAGTTGTAGCTGCTTTACTGGGCCTACTACGCTACTGTATTTCAATACTGCTCATTTTGGTGGTACTTGGAGAGAGATTTTTTTTGTTAGATGATACCTGATAAAAAAGGTTTGAGAACCAATGTGTTAAGAAATGTGTTGAGAAAAATCTTCTTTTCACTAAACAAAAATTGGTAAAAAAATATAAAAGGAATCAATTTAGCAGGAGGGCGAATAATTCTTTGACTGTATTTTGTGCAGCACTACTACGTGAAATGAACAAAAAAAAAACAATATGTTTGTCCCAAACTGAGTTCCTTTTTTTACCTTCATTATAATCTCGTCTGCTTTGCCGTGGGCCACTACATCCGGCTTGATTATTGCCACTGTGTAGGACTTGTCTGTAGGAACTAAAAAAGCAAAAGCACAGTGGGTAAATTCAGCAAACCGAACAAACTACAATGATAAATAAGGGGAAAAAAAGATTACCGGTCACATCTTCATCATGCGGATGATCCTCAGTGTCATCGTTCACTTCCTCTTCCTCAGTTAAACCTTCATCTTTCACCTGCAGTCACAAATGTCATCTCTTTCAGCATCTAATCAGAGCTGGAACTTTATTATTTTAATTAAATTTGAGCAGCTTTAATTTTTGTTTTTATCTTAAAATGATAGGACATCCAAAAATGAAAATTTACTCACACTGAAGTGGTTTTAAACTTTTATGAATGTCTTTTTTTCTGTTGAACACAGGATAAAATATCCTGAAAACTGTTGGGCAAAAAACTGCCATTGACATCCATAGTAGAAATAAAAAATACTATGGAAGTCAATGGCTGCTTTTTTCTTCTATATTCTTCAGTGTATTATCTTCGTTAGTGTTCAACAGAAGTCAGAAACTCAAACTGGTTTGGTTGAGTAAATGATGACAGAATTTACATTTTTGGATGAACTGTTGCTTTAAAGATTCATATACTGCTTTTTAAAATGTCATCCTGCTACATTAGCCTATTTTATTAGTCATATTTTTATTTTAAATGGACAAAATGATTAAAGAAATACTCTGAAGTTGGCTTGACAAAGGCAGGTCCGGAATGTCAAATGTTTGTAGATTTAGCATGTTTTTCAACATGTTTGGTTGCAGGAATTAACAGCAATATTTTAGCATGTTAAGTGTTAGCTTAAATTAGCCTGATGTTTGCGTGTTTTTAGCATATTTACCAATTTGATTGCTGAAATTACCATGCCAGCAATATTTCATCATGTTTAGCATTATGTTAGCCTAAATTATTCTTGTGTGTTTTAGCAATTGTTAGCATAGATTGGCATTTTGTTAACATGTTTCTAGCAGGTTTAGCATTGCTAGTTCTAATTAGCCTTTTGCTGGCATGTTTTATTAACATGTTTAACAATTTGATTGCTCAAACTAACGTTTCAGCATTTTTTGTATTATACTAGCATCAGTTAGCATGCTGCTAACATGTTTCTTATAAGTATTTCTAGCACATTTATCATCTGGCTAATATGTTTTAACATTAGATACATGTTGTAAAACATGCAAAATGTTTAATGTGCTGCTTGCATGTTTTACAACATGGCTGACATGTTTTAGAATGTTGCTAACATTCTATGATCCTATTTTAATATTAATTGACAAACATTAGCATGATGTTATATTGCTTCTAGCATTAATTATCCTAGCATGTTTGAGCAATTGTAAGCATAAATTAGCATGTTATTTGCATGTTTTAGCATGTTTAACAATTAACATGTTGTCAGCATCTTTAGCATGATTTTAGCATAAATTATTCTAGTATGTTTAGCAATTGTTAGCATACATTGGCATGTTGTTAACAGGTTTCTACCAGGGTTGCCCCATTGCTAGTAATGATTAGCATGTATTACTAGCATGTTTTAATGTGGATAACATGTTTTTGCTTTGCTGGCATTAAGTTTTTAGCATGTTTAACAATTAGATAGTGATGTTTCGACATTTTTCACATTATACTAGCATCTGTTAGTATTTTTGCTTAAATGATTCTAACATGTATTTCTAGCACATTTATCATCTGGCTAGTGTGTTTTAACATTTGCAACCATGCGTTTACCATGTAGAATGTTTAACGTGCTGCTTGCATTTTTTACAACATGGCTAACATCTTTTAGAGTCTTGCTAACAATGTATCCTGTTATTTTTTAATATTATTCGACAAAAATTAGCATATTGTAAGCATGTTTCTAGCTTTGGTTAGCACATTGCTATAACATTGATATGACATGTTTCTAAAGCATGTTACTCACATTTCTTCATTGTTTTACCTGCGGTTAGCATATTTACGAACACTGTTAACTTATTAGCAGAAATAGCATGTTTTAATACCCTGCTAGCAAAGTTTTAGCACATTGCTAGAATGTTTCTAGCATATTTTAATACATAGTTTTGTATTTTACTGTTTAAATTGTTTTTTTTTATTGATATGTATATATTTTGACGATAAAGTAGTCAAGTAAATAAGTTTATCAGAGTATGAATGTATTTTTCAGCATTGACTGGTCATAGTATTTGTGTTCAGGCTGCTGATGTGTGAAGTGTCTCACTGCTCTGCGGGCTCCGCCGTGCTCCAGGACATTTTTTTCATTGCTCAGCTCCTCCTGTATGGTCTTCTGCAGGAGAGGAGCGTTTGGCCCTCGCAGAACTGACACCAGCTCACCTCCCTACAACAACACAAAGCCATCATACACAGATGGGGCAACTCTCTTTTCACAGCATCACAGTTAAAAGTAAAAATGTAACCTGTTTTATATGGAAGATAATTTCCATTATGGAATAAAACAATAATTGTTTTACCTCAAAATTCAGACTTTTGTTCTTGTAGTTTATATCTCAAAATTATTTTATTATTTTGCATCTGAAAAATTGTTCATGACTCACAGTTTTGACTTAAACCCAGGCTCATTCTGAAATGTACCCTTATATACATTTCTGGAGAGTGCCAAATACCTTCCAGGTGCTACTTTTTTTTTTTTGCAGTTTTTGTTTTCGCAAATTCACCAGAGAGCACTGTGTACGCTTTTTCAGATCTCAAATTTCTCTCGCGAGTGCCATTCGCACCTGCTGTTCTCACGCAAATCCACCACTGACTGACTTACTGAATGACTGACTGCCCGATCGACTTACCTGCCCTCCTCCTTCCCTAAACCCAACCAATAGTGTTTTCAAAAGCATGAATTGACCCACCCACCCACTTCCCGAAACCCAACAGACAGTTTTCAAAAGCATCAATTGACCTGCCCATCCACTTCCCTAAACCCAACCAATAGTGTTTTCAAAAGTATCAATTAGCCCGCCCACTTTCTTCCCTAAACCCAACCAATAGTGTTTTTAAAAGCATCGATTGACCCACCCACCCACTTCCCTAAACCCAACCAATAGTGTTTTCAAAAGCATCAATTGACCCGCCCACCCACTTCCCTAAACCCAACTGACAGTGTTTTCAAAAGCATCGATTGACTCGCCAACCCACTTCCCTACCCCCCAACCGACAGTGTTTTCAAAAGCATCAATTGACCCACCTACCCTCTTCCATAAACCCAACCGACAGTGTTTTCAAAAGCATCGATTGACTCGCCAACCCACTTCCCTACCCCCCAACCGACAGTGTTTTCAAAAGCATCAACTGACCCACCCACCCTCTTTCCTAAACCCAACCGACAGTGTTTTCAAAAGCATCGATTGACTCGCCAACCCACTTCCCTACCCCCAACCGACAGTGTTTTCAAAAGCATCAATTGACCCACCTACCCTCTTCCATAAACCCAACCGACAGTGTTTTCAAAAGCATCGATTGACTCGCCAACCCACTTCCATACCCCCCAACCGACAGTGTTTTCAAAAGCATCAACTGACCCACCCACCCTCTTTCCTAAACCCAACCGACAGTCCTTTCAAAAGCATCAATTGACCCGCCCACCCTCTTTCCTAAACCCAACCGAAAGTGTTTTTAAAAGCATCAATTGACTCGCCAACCCACTTCCCTAAACCCAACCGACAGTGTTTTCAAAAGCATCGATTGACTCGCCAACCCACTTCCCTAAACCCAACCAATAATGTTTTCAAAAGCATCGATTGGCTACATAATTCACAATTTCCAGAAATGTATATAGGGCTACCCCTGTTTGCTCATTTATATTTGCATAATTTTTTTTAAGTATGAATTAGCTAAAACTTGGAGGTACTCTGAGAAGTGCACATATTTTAGACCCACCGCATAAAACAGAAAGGTGGGCTCACACTTTCCTCTGTACATCTCCAGAGCTTCAATCCCATCTGCCTCAGCCTGCAGGGATGATAAGACGACGTGACAGAAATGTCGACATTTAAAATGATTGTTTGTGTGCAATCTAATCTTCAGAGCGGCTTATCTCACCGTGGCAAAATGCAGCAGCTCGTCTCCCAGCTCGTTCTTGATTTTCCTAAAGAGACCGACGACTGCGCGGCAGGGACCACACCACTGCTGGTACACATCAACCACTAACACACAACACATTAAAGTCCACATGACATCAAACCTAACCATATTGATTTTGTTAGCTCACATTGCTAGTTTTGTGGTGAACAATTCATCTGTGCATTGTTTGCCCTGGTAATCTTTCATTGAAATCTGAAAACGCACTTCCTGTTTGTTTTCAGTTAAATGCTCAGAATATGTCACTCTTAGGTACAGGGCGTGGCTAATATACTTAGCCACACCCCTCCAGCTGTCAAAAAATGGTGAGCAGGAGGAGTCTGTTAGGTTGTAATAAAGCTCCCCAAACCTTTTTCCACATCTTTCTGAATGAAATGCCTACTTTACTACATCCAATCAGCTCAAAGTAGAAAAAACAAGCCACGCCCACTGTTTTCTCATTTACAGTTTTTCTCAGTAACTTTGGTGCATTTCTCACAACACTATTTACATTTGCACAACAGTTAATGCATTTCTCAAAACAATTAGTCATTTGTGCACATCATAGTAGCAGTTTCTCATTCCTTCCAACAAATTGCGCACAATGTGCACAAATGACTAATTGTTTTGAGAAATGCATTAACTGTTGTGCAAATGTAAATAGTGTTGTGAGAAATGCACCAAAGCCACTGAGAAAAACTGTAACTAAACTTGTGAATGATGAATAGTCATTCTATATAAAACTGATAGTCCTCATTTCATAACTTGAGTCATTACATAAACAAATGTTGAACCAGTTGTCAAAATCTGTCTAGCAAATTTTATTACAATTTTTAAAAAATCTTTATTTTACTGAAAATGTCTTCTAAATTAAACAATTTCATGAATGATTTACAGACCTGTGTGTGTTTTAGGATCAGTTTCAATATGTACTGCAATATTGTAAACAGTTGTGCACAAGTCTAGCCAAAAGAAGGTTTATGTTTGTTGTAAATACTGTAAAGGTGTGTTTATTCTTTTGCACAATGTTGTGAATAAATTATAATTGTAAAGTGCAAATTCAGTAAAACTGTAAAACATTCAGTGTCTTGTACTCAGATACCTCACTAAATGCAGTGATGTCTAAATTTACTGTAGTTTTTCAAATGGCTGTGCAAATAGTATACAGTGCTGTCTTGAGTATTTTCAGGAAGTGTCACCAAAATCAGATTGCATTGAAAAAATGTAGAGAGTAAACTGTCATAATGAAAACAGGACAAAGCCATTTGACAATCTTGTTCATAAACAATGGTGGCAGGACTTTTAATTTTGATGACACTGACACTTTGATTGACATCAATACTTGCTTTTGAGGAATGAACTCTCCATTTTGAGCATGTGACGCGCTTTTGCAGGTTATCAGCTAGGTTTTGCAGTTTGTACTAATTGTTTTGAGAAATGCATTAACTGTTGTGCAAAAATGCACTGGTGTTGTGAGAAATGCACCAAAGCCACTGAGAAAAACTGTAATATTTAATTTTTCTAGGAACTGCGTCACAACATGAGAAAACAAATGGTCACAGCTTCCAGCTCACGTGGACTTTCTGACACACAGAAAACTCTGTCCACATGAAAAAATGCTACAGTCATTAATATTAAATACTATAGTGTTTTTGAATCATACTATAGTAATGTGTATTATTATGTATGTATGTATGTATATATGTATGTATGTATGTATATATATATATATATATATATATATATATATATATATATATATATATATATATATACATATATATATATATATATTATAGTATTTACAACTCTATTATTTACAACTCTATTATAGTATTTAAAGCTCTATAGCGAGCTGATAAACTGTAATATATACTGTAGTATGCGTAGTTTTTAATACAGTAAACTGTGATGAAAATAAATAAAATACAATTAAATAAATTAATTAAATAAATTAAAATAAATTAAATTAAATAAAAAAAGAAATAAAATACATTCATTTTCTTTTCAACGTAGTCTCTTTATTCATGTGTTTGTTATTTTAAAGTTATAGACAGTCAATAAATAAGCTTTTTAATTTACAATTTTCATTTACAATTTCGTTGTTGATTATATTTTACTATCTCATTTTATGTCTCAATTATTGTACATAAATAATATATTAATTACTACTACTTCTCCCTGTGTTCGCATGGGTTTCCTCCAGGTGACAGACAGACAGACAGACAGAAAGACAGACAGACAGACAGACAGACAGAAAGACAGACAGACAGACAGACAGACAGACAGACAGACAGACAGACAGACAGAAAGATAGACAGACAGACAGACAGACAGACAGACAGACAGACAGACAGACAGACAGACAGACAGATAGACAGATAGATAGATAGATAGATAGATAGATAGATAGATAGATAGATAGATAGATAGATCTTTCACTCACCTAATAACCCTTTCAATGCAAGAGCTTCACTCCATTGTTCGTCATTATTAATATTTATCTAAATATAAAAGTTTTCAGGGAGTTTTAATATGAGACACAAAGTAAACAAAGCAGAAATTAACGTTACAGTTGTCCCAGATAATTTACTACAAACCTGTAAACTGATCTCCTTCTTTTTAGCAGCCATAGCAAGCGTGATTTGAATGATCCAAAGTAGCTATTGGACGTTAATAATTGTTGCAGATGCTGTTTATTATTATGTCGTCGCTTTTTTCTGTTTCTGAAAAGTTTCAGTGCGGGACAGTATCAGCGCATGCGCAGCACGGACTGTTTCGCGTTCTCGTCGCTCAGCAACCGTTTATGAGCCGCTCCAGCTCCGCTATCTGCTGGAGCATCTGTGTATTGCAGATATGAAAAATGTTCAGTCTGCTATAGGTAACAAAACCAGAATCACTTTTGCAGTTTATTGTTGTTATATCTTTTATTTCAGATTCTTAGTCCATATCCAAAAACACAACAATGCCAGAGATTAATAAATAAGAATTTAATAAATAATAAAGTCATAATAAAGCAGATTTCAGACTTATTAAATGCTGAATTCAAGATGTGAAACTCATATCCAGCATGTTTGGCAGAAAGTAGTTGATCCCGTTTCACCCAAAAATCTTAGGATAAGATTGTGTATTCTGCTTAAAGAAAATGATGCTTGTTTTAAAAAGTTACTCTGACACATCACATTTTTATTTATTTATTTGTATTTTATTTATTTATTTACATTTTATTTATTTGTTTTTTAGTTACTTAGCCGTTTATTTTTATTTATTTATTTTTATTTTATTTATTTATTTATTTGAATTTCATTTATTTATTTATTTGTATTTAATTTATTTGTTTATTTTTTTTTTTTTTGTATTTATTAATTTTTATTTATTTGTTTGTGTTTAATTTATTTATTCATTTGTATTTTTGTATTTAATTGTAATTATTTATATTATATTTATTTTTTAATTTGTATTTTTATATAATTTTATTTAATTATTTATTTGTATTTAATTTTTAAAATTATATTTATTTATATTTATAGCTATTCATTTATTTGTATTTATTTATTTATTTGTATTTATTTATTTTATCTATTTATTTGTATTTAATTTATTTATTTACTTGTATTTGAATTTTATAAAAATGTTATTATTTTTATTTTTTTGTATTTCATTTATTTGTATTTTTTCATTTATTATTTTATTAGTATTTTATTTATTTATTTATTCATATATATATATATATATATATATATATATATATATATATATATATATATATATATATATATATATATATAGTATTTTATTTATCTGTATTTATTTGAGTTTTATCAAAATTGTATTTGTTTTATTTGTTTGTTTTTATTTATTTGGATTTTATTTATTTATTTATTTACATTATTATTATTTGCATTATACATTTTTTTCTTTGCATTTAAGTACAATTAAGTATACATCCCCAAAATGCATACCCATAGCTCTTCTGGCTTAAATATGTAGGCCTAAATTAATAAACTTCACTCATGCATAAATGAAACAATTCATTTTTCTGCACTCAAAACATCTTCATATGGTTCAATATTAAATAATTGCATCTGTTTTATGTTCTTTAAATAAGGTTCTTTTAGAAACAAGTAGCCAAGGACTTTTGTATTTATTCTTTCCCCTACAGTGGAAGTCAATGGCTACAGGTTTCCAAACATTCAAAATTTCCTTTTTTGTCTTCAACCTGAGTAAATGTTCAGTAAAAGTTAGTTTTCAGGTGAAGTATCTCTTGAAGTTTATGAGTTGTTCAAACTGTGTAACCCAATTGCATGTATAGCAGTTGAGCTCTGTAAATGTTTGAGAGAAAGAAAGCGAGCACTGAAGGCGGTGTCAGCAAACACAGTTATCGCCACATGTCTTTTTGTTTTTCTGTCTGCAGGACTGTGCAGTCTGGGATAGGCGGACATTCCTCACATAAGACCACTGATGTGGAGCAGAGCCAAACATAACAGCAGATCTCAGACTGCAAACACCACATTCACTCCATTCCACAGCCGCATAAACAGTTGAAGCAAGAATTATTCGCCCCCCTGTATATTTTTTCCCAATTTCTGTTTAACGGAAGGAAGATTTTTTCAACACATTTCTAAACATAATAGTTTTAATAATTCATCTCTAATAACTGAATTCTTTTATCTTGTTGATTCACTCTAATGTGTTAATTCACTGCTGGATTATTTTAACCCAATGTTGGGTCAAAAAGCTGGCCTCCGTTACATATTGACAAACCCAAGAGTTGGGTTAAAAAGTGTTATTCATGAATTTTCCTTTGGCTCAGTCCCTTTATTCATAAGGGGTCGATACAGCGGAATGAACTGCCAACTTATCCAGCATATGTTTTACTCAGCGGATGCCCTTCCAGCTGCAACACAGTACTCAGAAACACCCATACACACTCATTAACACACACTTATACACTACGGCCAATTTAGTTTATTCAATTCACCTATAGCGCATGTGTTTAGACTGTGGGGGAAACCGGAGCACCCGGAGGAAACCTACGCCAACACGGGGAGAACATGCAAACTCCACACAGAAATGCCAACTGACCCAGCCAAGACTCAAACCAGCGACCTTCTTGCTGTGAGGCAACAGTGTTAACCACTGAGCCACCATGCTAACAAGTAAAAAATTACAAAACCCACACACACATGTTGGTATTAGTAGTTTACATGTACTCTCCATAGGTGTAATTTATTCTATACTGTTAAAACTACTAAATATATGACCTTTTCTCCCCTCTACCTACCCCAGAACACAATCCTCAAAGTGAACCTGTAAGTTGTGAATGTGAAAAGTTAATGTTAAAAATAAGCAAAGTTAAAGTTTGACTTTTTTTTAAACCATGACTTTTAAGCAATTTGAATAAAAAAAAAAAAAACGTCCTTGTAAAACACCAAAACCAGAACACACACACTCACCGGCCACTTTATTAGCTACGCCTGTCCAACTGCTCGTTAACACAAATTTCCAATCTGCCAATCACATGGCAGCAACTCAACGTATTTAGGCATGTAGACATGGTCAAGAGGATCCGCTGCAGTTCAAATCGAGCATCAGAATGGGGAAGAAAGGTGATTGAAGTGACTTTGAACGTGGCATGGTTGTTGGTGCCAGACGGGCTGGTCTGAGTATTTCAGAAACTGCTGATCTACTGGGATTTTCACACACAACCATCTCTAGGGTTTACAGAGAATGGTCTGAAAAAGAGAAAATATCCAGTGAGCGGCAGTTCTGTGGGCGCTCAGAAGGGAATGGTCAGAGGAGAATGGCCAGACTGGTTCCAGCTGATAGAAAGGCAACAGTAACTCAAATAAGCACTCGTTACAACCGAGGTCTGCAGAAGAGCATCTCTGAACCCACAACACGGTCAACCTTGAGGCGGATGGGCTACAGCAGCAGAAGACCACACCGGGTGCCGCTCCTGTCAGCTAAGAACAGGAAACTGAGGCTACAATTCACACAGACTCACCAAAACTGGACAATAGAAGATTGGAGAAGCGTTGCCTGCTCTGATGAGTCTCCATTTCTGCTGACACATTCGGATGGTCGGGTCAGAATTTGACATCAACAAGAAAGCATGGCTCCATCCTACCTTCTATCAACGGTTCAGGCTGATGGTGGTGGTGTAATGGTGTGGGGGATATTTTCTTGGCACACTTTGGGTCCATCAGTACCAATTGAGCATCATGTCAATGCCACAGCCTACCTGAGTATTGTTGCTGACCATGTTCATCACTTTATGACCACAGTGTCTCCATCTTCTGATGGCTACTTCCAGCAGGATAACGCACCATGTCATAAAGCATGAATCATCTCAGACTGGTTGCTTGAACATGACAATGAGTTTATTATACTCAAATGGCCTCAACAATATCCAGAGCTTAATCCAATAGAGCACCTTTGGTATGTGGTGGAATGGGAGATTCACATCATGGATGTGCAGCCGACAAATCTGCAGCAACTGTGATGCTATCATGCCAATATGGAGCAAAATCTCTGAGCAATATTTCCATTATCTTGTTAAATCTATGCCACAAAAGATTAAGGCAGTTGTGAAGGCAAAAGGGGGTCCAACCTGGTTCTAGTAAGGTGTATCTAATAAAGTGGCCAGTGAGTGTATATACATACATGTAACATTTTAAAGGGTGATATGACCTTGCTTGGGATGAGAATTAATTACATTTTGTCACATCAAAACCACAATCAATGTTTACATTTCAACGTGATTTGAAGGATTATGGCAAAGTAAAAACATTTAAAATCACAATTATTAATATTATAGGATCAAACTAATATGTCATCAATGGACTCTTGTTTAAAATGTCTTTTTTTCCCACCCCATTATAAGTGATAGTTGCTGACGTTTTAATGGATAGCTTCAGATAAGTCATGTAAAATATAAGATGCCAGGAGGAGGCCTCGTGGAAGATCCAGGACACGCTGGAGCGACTATGTCTCTCGGCTTGCCTAGGAACGCTCGGGATTCCACCGGAGGAACAGGAGGAAGTGTCTAGGGAAGTCAGGGGTTGTCTCCTGAGACTGCTGCCCCCGCGACTCGACCCCGGAAAAGCTGTAGAAAATGAATGAATGAATGCTTTAAAAGGCCCTTTATAACAGTGCTTTTACTGTGGCTGTTCCTCCCATGCAGCGTGTAAAACAAACATGTATTATAAGGCATAATCCACCACACCTCCTTTGATCAACACACTATTCATTATAAAGCTGAAGCTGCTTGTTTGTTCAGTTTATTTCTGAACTCTTCTTGCTCAAACTTGCCTTCGCCCTCAGGAAAAACAGGAGATTCTTTCAAATTCGACAGTGCATGTACAGGCGACACGGTGGCTCAGTGGTTAGCACTGTCACCTCACAACAAGTAGGTCACTGGTTTGGACCACTTGGCATTTCTGTGTGGAGTTTGCATGTTCTCCCAGTGTTGGCGTCGGTTTCCTTCGGGTGCTATAAGTGAATTGGATAAGCTAAATTGGCCGTAATGTATGAGTGTGTGTGTAAATGAGTGTGTATGAGTGTTTCCCAGTACTGGGTTGCAGCTGGAAGGGCATCCGCTGTGTAAAACATATGCTGGATAAGCTGATTAACCTTTTGAATGGCTTTTTCATATTGTTATGTATGTTTGATGCATTTTTTCCTAACTTTATTTATAGAATTTTACAAACATCATATATTTTAGTAGAACATTATTGCACATTTTGACATATAGAAAGAGAGAAGTAAACAAAGATCCAA